GGGAGTTATAAGCAATACTCCTTTGGTTGCAGTTAAGTTTGCAAATTTTTTTCTCGCAAATCCTGTTTTATTATTAGCTTCATAAATGAATCGATTATCTTACTGGATATAAGTTAAGATGATCTCGAAAGCAGTTGAATAAGGGATAGGCGTTTTAGTAATTCAAAGAATATTGACATTTCAGATCATTTCATTCATGAAATATTAAGCATGATTGATGTAATTAATTATTCGATTACTTTTTAAAAAATTAGATGAAGAAATGCGCAGAATTAAGAACGCGTTTCTGCTTCATGTTAAAAGCCGTTGGAAAAGTACAAGCTGTTTCATTGGTTTCTCTCTGTTGTGCATCGATCTATCTGCGTTCTATCCTTTTCCTTATTATCATTTATTTTAATCTGTTGAACTGTGTTCCGGATTCTTTCTGTTATTAAATTATAAAGTTATTCTCAGCTGAAAACTGTGGAAATGATGGCAACTTATTTAAATCGTTGAAAGAATCTTATGAAAAAATTGTCTTGATTAGTCTAGTTATTTAAAAAGAGGATACCAAACTCGTTTTTGATGTGTTCAGTTAGATTTAGTCTATCGGGTAAACTCTGCTAGAAAGCTGATTACAGTTTCAAATAGTCTGATGTGGCCAGCGCATCACGCCAAGTCCATGTTTTAAATAACAGCAAGCTAATAATATATTACTGCCACTTGATCGTTTATAAATAAAATTTAATTTGTTATTCTTATAGATGGGAAGGTATACTATATAGTTGACCATGTGTAAAAACTGGTTATTTTTAATAGCAACATTACCAAATGTTTGGTCCTTATTTTTCTTTTCATTAAAAATTGCATTTTATCGGGCAGTTAAATAGAATAAAATTTAATTGGTTGTTTCAATAAAAGAAAATTAAGTGTTTATAATGCATTTAAAATAACTACTTTTAAATTAAAACCATAATTTAATTTTCTCTTGTGTTATTTCTACAGTATCAACAAATCTAAATTTAGTTTCAGTTATGCGTTTCGGAATAATTCAAAAGGAAAGCAATAGCTGTTTTCAAATTTGCTATCTTTTCTTTTGTTTCATTATCATCAAGTTTTAGTTTATATCGTAATATATTTTTTACGAAAATCTCTTCTGAGTTTCAAGTAAATGATCGCTTCCGCTATATCAATTTTAGCCAATATCTAATATGTTGTTACTTTTGATACAAAAGTCTTAAATATTAAAACTGAAGCGTTTTGGATTGTATTTTAATATAGTTTTTCATTAAAAACTGTTATGAGCTTCAAGTAAAGTGTCACTTCCGTTTACCATTAAAAACTGTAATGAGCTTCAAGTAAAGTATATCATCTCGGGTTGTCCAATTTTACCCAGAATCTAATCAACTTATAATGTATTTCTCCCGCCCTCTAGATTGTCGTAGGGTTAGTGGTCTCTCGCTCTGAGCGTATTCGAGAGGTCACGTGTTTCGAGTCCCGGCGGGGATATTGATCAATTGTCATTCTTCCTGTTTTTTAAAAAAAAAAAAAAAATTACCTAATGTCTCTATAAACTCTTCATTCGAATGCAGAAAGCATAAATACGAAAATTGGAAATTTTCGGAAGTTTGATGCAAGAATTATCGTTGATAATCCGAATTCAGATATTGTAAAAGCAATAAAAACACGTTGTGGGAACCCTAACTTGTGCGTATTCACTAAAATTTCATTGTTGAATTTTTGGACTGAACACATTCCTGCCTTACTTATGTATATAGGTTGGCAGAAGGTAAAAATTTTCGTGATCCATTTTCGATCTGTATTATTACATGCTTGTTCCATTTACAAGTTCTTATGACTTATAAACAGTATGTTGATCGTCGTTCAAAAATTCATTTCAGAACTTCTGTTTTTGTATGCATGAATCTTTTTTTAGCTGACAGGTAGATCTCGCTACTTGTATGTAGAGTCATCCGTCCTTTAATTAACGAGGTTATTGGTGAAGGGCGGTCGCCTTGACATCCTTTTTGGAGTTGCCCCGATCTGTGTTATTAGGCACATTGACCATAGGGGAAAGAATAATTACCGCTTCCTTTCCGTCCTTCGTCGACTAAACAATATTTTTTATGCCTGTTTATGTTTGTTTTGTGATTGTTTTGATTCTCACCAGGCAGTAAAATCACTCTCGTGATGCTGTCGTTCCACATCGTGCGTTCTCGACCCTCTTTATTTCAAGGTCACTCCGTTCTTTAACCCCTCGGCGGCAGACGAACACTGCAGCCTTGTATAATCGTGAAAGATGGCTTTGCGCCTGTGTACCCGTAGTTATGAAATGTGGTAATATGAATTTGAAGGAGTGCTTTGCATAGCCATAAATGGAATCATTTTTAAACCAATTTTATACTGCTGTAGGAGAAGTGTATTTAATTTTTAATTGTTTTTGTTTCCAGTTAATCGTGTGATTTAAGCCAAGTGTGCGAATATACGCTTCTCTCTTGTTTCTCCCCATATTTTTTAAATGGGAATTGATATCAGTAAATTTAATTTTTGAAGAAGTGCACTAATACTTCATAAAATTTCGGTAATGAAAGAGTATGTGGTCTACCGCTAATAGTTAGTTAGCTATTTTTAGACGGTAGTACTAAAATTGGTTGCCTGTTAACATTAGCACACTCTGCAAGTTTAACAAAGTTCAAAACATCCTGCAGAACATACCGTAAATACATTCACATTAACCCTGGAAATTCATTAATAAAAGTGATGACTACTTGCGATATTTATAAGGTATTGGATGAACGACTCTTCAAAGCAACCCTTTTAAGGACCACTTCTGCTTTTGATTTTTACTAATCAAAAGCAGCTGGAAGAAATTAAAATTTAATTGAACTATAAATTTAATTGGTTAATTAATTAATTTCTACACTCATTTCCATTTGCATATCCTGAATTATTTGTATTTATATTTAAAAGTAATGTTTTAATGGCAGCGTTTAAAGAATAACTAATTCGTTAAAAGTGGTAGATACTACATCATTGCTGAAATTTTCCGTTTACAGTTCTTCTAGAAATGCGTCAGAAATATATGATTTAAATTCAGGCAAACATAATATGCTCTAAAATGCATTATTTTCCAACTTAGCAAATCATAAACTGTTGTGCTAAATTAAGTGGATAAATCCTCTTCCTCTCTTATACATTAAGAATTGAAAAGTTGCAAAAGTTTTCATGTCATGCTTCTAAAAAAAAAAAAAAAAAAGTATACAATGCATCTTCTGTCATTATTACATGGATAACGATTTTGTGATTAAAATTGCGATAATAGTTTTAGAGCCAACATTTTTGTTCTGCTTTGTATTGCTATAAATTTAATTAATGGAAATGTATTCTAGTGTTCTTAAAGAAATAACAGGACATAAAATTATATTTCAAAACATTGTTACTGAAAATTCTTTCCAGTAAAACATGTTACATATTGCTTTATCCCAAATTAGATAGTGGTTAATGATGCTGACTATCATACTGAAGCCTGAAGAAGGCAGGGATGTTTGTAAATGTGTAGTCAGAGTCGTAGCTAGGGTTTTCAGTGCCCAGGGGCAACTGAAGATTTCGCGCCCTCTACTGCTTGCCAAGGATGGAAAACATTTAATTCTAAAATGCCGTAACATCTGTTTAGCGTCCCTTGGATTCTGCGCCCGGGAACAGATGCCCCCCTCTAGCTACGCCCCTGTGTGTAGTGTATGTATAGCATGGGAGCACTCAAAATATATGGTAGGCCAAAAGTCTTCTCGAGTGGGTTTATTGATAGAGTTAAGAGGGTTTAGAGATCCTTGGACTTGTCCCCCGGGATGCTTTCTTTAAAAACTGGGACGGAACTAGACATATTCGTACTATCAACCTATATGGTGCTTAAAGCTCATCCAATGATATATGCATTCTGTGCCACAGTGAAATCCATGGGCTTGTTCTGATTAGGTCAGACAAGTGAGGTTAGTCGCAACAACACATATTGCTTGCTTCGATGGTTTTTAAGTGTCCATTTATCTACTGTAATTAGTTATTTTGCCATTATTTATTAAGAGTTCTGTTAGGACTCATTATAATATTTTTCATATTTAATTTTTTGGTCGTATTTGATGACTTCAAATATGACTTGTTATAAAATGAAAGTATATTATTAAGAGTCCTATTTTAAATATATTATTTATTTCCATGCAGAGTTTTCAGATTTATGCATTTCATTGTAATATTTATAGTGTTCAACTATGTATAACAATATTCACAATGCTCAATATTTACTATATTTACAATGCTCAGTTAATTCATTGTAACATTTAATATTTACAATAAAACTCTTAATAGTGGAATTTTTTGAATCAGTTAAACACTTTTTTTTTTAATTACAAGTCACGGTCTTGCCACATTGACTGTCCAATGTAATTTTTTTTAATTACATTGCACAGTCAATATGGCAATGCAAAATGGTATTCTTTTTTATAATTATTTATTATAAAGAAGAATATATATATGATTTTAATGAATACTATTAGTGTAATTTCATAGATTCTGCTCCTAATTAATAACAATATAGAAAGAATGTGTATTGCTTTTAAATCCTTTAGCTTGTTAATCAATAATAGACATAAATTTGGAGGAAAAATTAAATAATTTATGTTTTATCAAATGGCAGCAGTACACTGGTACCTGAAAGATAAAAATCATGTGGCAACACATTTCTTTTAAATCACTGAATTCATTGATTAAACTCTGTGGAAATACTTGAGTCAGTGAAAATGTTTATTATTATATGCAAAGAAAAGAATCATATTTATGTCTTTTTTGTAATACATTTCTTTGATAATTTTCACAATTTTCAGCTTTGAAAGCAGAATTTATGATTTAGTTGATAATACAGGTCACCATTTACTTAAAAATTACTCTTGAATTACTTTTTAAGGTTTCAATGAATGTGTGTTTACTTAGTTATTATTTTGTTCTTATGCTCTGCTTGTCATACTTTTCAGAGTATACCTGGACACACTACTTCTGTAGAATGTGTTAGTTTCGATCCTAGAGAAATTATGGTATGTGCAGGCTCTTTATCTGGTGCTCTTAAAGTTTGTGATCTGGAAGCTTCAAAAAGTAAGTTTCTTTTAGATAAATTTATAAAATTTATATATTTTCTTTCATTTGAATATCCTAATCATAAATTGTAAGGATTTAAAAAATCATATTGTTATATGAAATGTTTGAAAAAACATGGCTGCTAGATTTATTTTCATAAATATTAATCCTAAACACATATACATCTAGTTGCAATTTTTTTTTCTTTTTTTAAAATACGATAAATGTGGAACAGTGTTTGTATTGTAGCAATGAAATTCTTAATAAAACTTGTAACAATAAAATTCTTTATTTGATCTGGTCCCTGTAGAGAAAAAATATGGGAAAATGTTTTTCTATGGAAATTTTTAACATTCTCAGCAAAATTTAAATTATGATAAACTGTCATCTTTCAATGTGCCAGAAACTGTCATCTTTCAATGTGCCCTTCCAATGTAAATAAATAAATTATGACAAACTGTCATCTTTCAATGTGTTTAAATTATGATAAACTATCATCTTTCATGTAATTATGTTTTGAACACTTTATGATAACTGTGCATGTGTTTATGGAGAAAGAAAATAAATTAAAAATTTGCCTTCAATCCAGAAATAATCAGAATGCTCTTTTTTTTTCTTTTTTTTTTTTTTCCAGTATTACCTTAAAAGTATTTTATGTGAGTAAATTTTCTTTGAAAATGATATGATGTTAAAAAGAATTAATAACACGTGTAATAAAAATGTTGATAGCTGTAGTATTCACTGCAATCAGTAAATTATGGAGGATTTTATGTTGGTAGTTTCATGCAATACTATCAGGTTGGCGGTGCTTGCTATTTAGAGGGAGATTTAAATAATTTCAGTGTTATTTATAACTTTAGTCCTGATTTTCTCATTTTACTTCTAAATGATATATTGTTGTCTCTTCACATTTACCTTATGATTCTGTATAATTATGCAGAATTTGTTGAAACAAAGTGTATGTTCTTCTCCGTCTTAGATCAATTTTGTTAAATTAGATCTAAATATATATATCTAGGATCAGCCTTTCAGGAAATAAAGTTTATGACTGTCTTTTAGAAACATCTCAATTGTATATAGCCATACACTAATATGTGTGTTATACATGGGTAATTTGTACTGGGATATATTGCAGATATGTGAAACTGTGGATAATAGAGAAAACTATATTTAACAGAATTTCTATGTAACTTTGGTAAATTCAATGAGATTTAATTGATAAATTTGACACCATAAGACATTTTCAGTGTTAACAAATCATAATAAAAGATAATTTAGGCAATATTAATTTCTCGTTAATAAGCCAATCATGGCTTAAGTGTAGAAATGCTGGTAGCATCACTTCTGTTATGCTTGGAAGCTATTGTAAGGTAAATAAAATTGGTTTCCCCTTCCACTAAGTCACATCTATTAGGAAAATATATGCATGTGTTTACAGTCATGATTATTGTGACAATGTAGTGTCTAGCTTGTTTCAGTGGCTTTATTTCACATTTGCCATAGCTAAACTTGAAGTATGTTTTTAAGGTCATATGCTCGACCTATATTTCGAAACTTCAAACAGCATTTTTCTCCACTGTGAATACTGAATCAACGATCCAGTAGTGTATACTGAAACCACAGTCCAGTAGTGTATACTGAATCCACGGTCCAGTAATGTACACTGAATCCATGGTCCAGTAGTACAATGACTACCAATAAGTATTTCGACACCTGTAATAGAAAGAAAAACTAACTTTATTCAAAATCAATAGTTGGTAGAGCCTCCATGAGAGGTAATTACAGCGTGGACCTAGGGACATACTTCACAAGTCTTGAGACAGCTAGTGGTTTCTTCCACTCGGATGGAGAGACAGAGAGTCCTTCACAGATTTGCGAGGGTAGTGCACCTGAATTTGGCGATGCAACTCGTCCAGAGTTTTCGATAGGCTCAGGTCTGGACGTGGGAGGCAGTCATTCGATGAACTCCATGGGACCATATCAAGCCGGATTAAGTCGAAACATGAAACTCGCATTGTCATCTGAAAGTAACAGGGGTTAACATGTAAACCTGCCACAACGTAGAAGCACCTGTCATCCAAAATGCAGTATGCATCGGAGTTGAGCTTACCATTGAATGGTGACCGAAGGTACCAGCCCCATACAGGAGAAACACACCCAGACCTAATTCCACCTCAGCGAATTGACTGTTGGCACAATGATTGGCAGGGACGTTCCCAAGTAGAACCAGGCGAGACCCTGCCATCCGAACGGTATTAAAGGGTGACCTGATTCGTCACTCCAAAGAACCCTTACTGATCTGGTCCAATTCGAGTGCCTGACCACATTAACCGCGCATGCGGTGGACTTTGGATCAAAGGCTATGGAGCAGCACGACCATGAAAACAGCAGATGTGCTTATTACGGATGGTATTATTGAAAATACTCCCGGATGCCTGTTGAAACTCCTCGGGACGAGGCCATCAGTTGGGTGAGGTTTCCGATTCTCTGGACAGCACTCGTCGGTCTCTATCTCCAGTTTCGTTGGTCTCCGATCGGGGAACATTGACAATCACGCTCACTTCCCTTTTAATCACATAGGCACTGTCGATTTTGGGTTACTTCAGCCGCTAGAATATGTCCCTTAGGACAAGGCCACATTTTGATACGATATTAACCTTCGAAATCAGAGAGCTCCGAACGCGAGGCATCTGCATGCGACCAAAGCTGAGCTGTTTCCTACGATATATACGGTGGTCGGACTACCTTAGGACCACAGATATCGTCATTTGCATAGGTGTCCAAATACTTATTGGTAGTCAGTGTATACTGAATCCATGGTTATGGGACTATGATTGTATGCACACTGCTCAAAAAAAGAGGAGGGGACAGCTCCTATATCTCCCGTTGTACTGAGCTGATTGACAAAATTCAAATTGCGTTTTTCGTGTCTCTAAAGTGCGACTTAGGATATATATTACATTTATATATAGTATTGTTCTAACATGGGTACTTTGACACAAAATTGGACTATTTTTGAAATAACACACCAAATTTTTCCCATATTTCAATTCTACTACTTAAATTATGCCTAGATATTAAATTTTGTAAAATGTGTATTCAATTTATAATAATAATAAGAAGAATTCACTTGGCACACTTTTTAATATATGGCAACCAATTTCCCTTTCCCTTCCATTATGCCAGAGCAGAAAAAAGGGCACCTCATTTCTATATTTTTACATTGTGCATGAGCAGAAAAAAAGTCGCATCACTCTTAATTTCTAATAATTTTAGCTAAGTGTCTAAACCACATTTGATGTTTTATTGCTTTCAATAAATATGCCAAAATTGAAAGCGTGCCAATATATAAATTCACGTATATCTTCGTAAATTTTGAATAAAAACTGTAATTTTTTGCAGGTATGCTTAGGAATACGTCTACTTTAAGATGATGGTAAAAATTTTATAGATTTATCAAACTTTTTTCTGAAATTTATAAAATTTTTTTTAAATAAATCAAAAAATGGAGAATTTTTGGAATGAACTTGAATCGAATGTGAACGGAGAATAAAAAATTTAATAAAAAGAGAGGTTATAAATATATACCCAACTCATCAATTAGGAGCTAAAATTTTTAGAGCAATTTTTTAAAAAAACTATGCGATTTACAAAACTGGCAGTTGCATAATTTGAGCTGTAGAATCTAAATTGGAAAAAATTCGTGTTATCAGAAAAAAGTCTATGATTTGTGCCAAATACCTAATTAGAACATGATAGATATAAATCAAATATCTAAGTTATGCTTCGAGACATGAAAACGAAGTTGATTTCGTCAATGAACCCAGGAGAACGGACGATGTAGAATGTCCCCCTTTTTTGTATAGTGTACATTTTTACGTTTTGGAATGGTATATAGTTTTTATTAGGGTTTTATCGGCTATAAATACAACTAGGAATGTAATTATGAGCTTAACCCCTCTCGTGCGCATCAACGTTTCAAGGGCAACCTAAATATAGTAATTGACCCCCCGATTTCCGCGGGGATGATTTTGCCGGCGATTAACGTCCAACCGCCTTCCCCATTCAAGGTTCCTTTCAGCTTTTCGTGAGTTTAATTGTTATTTATATGTGGGCTAACGATGGTTTCGTGCACATTTCCAGATATATAAGAATTGTAATGTACATTTTGCACACGCTTTAGGCAAGATGTCTTGCAGGAAGAGTTTTGCGCGTGAGTTAAAACTTATATTCTGATGATATTTTTAGACATGATAGTAGTTTGACTCGGATTCAAGTATATTGAGATGTATAGCGAAACTGATTGAGATTTCTCGGATCATCGTAGATAGTTGCTGATCTGAAATCCAGTTCTATTGAATACGTTCGACGTGGTGCAAAATTGTATGAAATATTACATTATGCAAATTTTATAGTATAATGTTTACCTTTGTATTCATAAATATAGGACCGCTCCGCTCGCGCGGGTATAAAAATATAGCTATGTCACTCACTGAAAAAAGTGATTAATTAAGTTAAAAAACTATAAAAATAATTGCTATTTGGGCGAATAAAAACAAAGATAATAACATCATCAACAACAAAAAGACATATTATTAAGTCTTTTTGAACTACATACTCACTTAAATTACAATTTGAAAATAATTTCCCGAAATTAAATTGATTAATCTAAATTTGACAAGATCTGATAGAAAATTCCATCCATAAATATGGTTTTATTTATTACTCTTCTCTAACTAGTACTTCTAATTACTATAAGTACATTTAAAAAATAACCTTAGAATGAATAGAATAATATTTAAACTACATCATACAATTATTTATCGTACCTTATAAATGAAGAATTGTTGTTGCGCTGAAAAGCACTTTTTATGAAGTTATTGTATTTTCCGATAGAGAGGTCGATAAAACGCGTCCGATCGCTGCTTAATTCAAAGGCTAGGGAGAAGCGGCCTCCGACACGTGTTATAGGCACGCTCCTGCCCCCCGGCTGGATGGTACGCCACAAATGCTATGTCTGCAATTTTTAAATTTGTAGACCTTTTCAATGTGTACAATACTAGTACAGTTTGAAAATCTCGTAGGGTTCAGCATGCATTTGCAATGTAAGCGGAAAAAATGTATTATTTACGAAATCAATTAGAACTCAAAATAAAGTATTTCTCCACATTAAGGAGTATACATATAAACCTCCCGCTCAATCACTCTATAAAAAAAACGTATCAAAATCGTTGGTAGTTTTAAAGATTTAAATAATAGGGATAAGGGACAGAGAAAGAGACTGTTTATCATGTAGTGAATCATAATTTACCATAATTCAAATTTCCGTTTATATCATTATTCTCAGTTAGTATTCTGACAACTTTTTCTATGGTCGAATTCTATACTGGAAAAAAAAAAAAAAAAAAAAAAAAAAAAAAAAAAAAAAAAACTCTTTACAAAAAACTTTTGTATTTTAACTGTGAAAATATATGTAGATTTGAAATAGGTATAAAAAAAACGCAATTTTTGAACTATTTGATAAAAAAAAAGTAGCGTGAGAGGGTAAGGCTTTTCATTTTTTGTCCCCTAGCATAAAGAATAGAAATTGTATTGTTTGAGATTAATTTTATTGTATTTCTTTTAAATTTTCTTTAGATTTGATTAAGGTTGTAATGCAGAAAATATTAAATTCGGTTTCGATAGTAATGTTAGTAGACTTCTAATAAATGTTTATTCCTGTGCAATGCAGCGAGAGAGGTTTTAAAAGGAGCTATGCAGAAAAGTAAAATCCAGAGATGTGCATTTTAAATTGATAAAAGTTTATCTCTGTAATTTATATTTAATTTGAATAAATGTAATTGACTACTATCTTAGCTGTACCCATAATTCTACTCTTTTGTTTTCCAGAAATCTTGAGTAGCAGAAATTTACTAGAAATTTCTCGTGACCGATTTAAAGCTATAAAAACCCAAACAGAGAACATCTCAGCTCAGTTGTTTAGTTAGCTGCTGTTGTTATTTTTGTGAGTCCAGCGTGAGATTGGATTAGCTTTCTCTTTCAATTGCGTTGTAATTAATGCTTTTAGTAGTTTGGAGTAAAACTACTGATTATATTGCGTGATATTGTGTACTTGTATGAAATATCTCTGAGGAAAATTCCTGCATTCTGTTTTATATCTTGTGATAAGAATAAATTTTAATAACCTTTTATTAGACTTGTGCATTCAATCTATTACGAACCCGTATGCATGCAACAGTATGTTTCTATTGCTATATAATAACCTCGATTGCAATATTTTTAACTATTTCTGGTACACATTTTTTATTTGCATCCAAAATAAAATTTAGTAATAAAGTTTTATAATATCATACAGTCCACAATCATTTGTATGCATTTATTTATTTTTTTCGTCTGTCTTTCTTTTATTATTATTATTACATGAGAACCAAAAATGTTGTTATTGCTTTTTAAAAAGTTCTAATCCATTTAGTTAAAACCATGTAACTTGAAGGTTTTTACCTAATTTTCTTTATTACTACTTTCATGTGTTTTTTCATATATTGGTATTTTTATACCATTTTATCTTTAAAAAATTAAATATGAGAGCATTTAAAACTGAAATTATTAAGTTTTATCTCTGGGTGGGTGAACAGTATGTATTATTAGTCCAAAGGGATTTGAATCCCGAAGGACTATTAGTTTCGTTTTGGCATTTTGCGTCGGACTCATAAATGTCGGTTCACTTTTCAAACTGTTGCCACAAAATGTTAGAGTCCTGCATTATATTTGAAGAAATTAAATAATGAAAAAAATCTGCATAAATGTATGTATATTTCTCGTATTGTCATAAAACAACGGTACATAGAGTCATCGAATTTTGAATAACGTAATCCACCAACGAATATGAGCATGTGCAAGGATAATTGGAAATTTGAAATTTGTTTTATGATCGATTTCCTATTTTTTAAAACTTTGACGAATTTTTGATTAACAAACTCAAGGATTTCAAAGCGAGCAATGGCAACGTTGTGCAGAAAAAACATTTTTATCTCCAGCGCGTGAGTCTCTGTATCGGAAATTCTAAAGATATGCTCGTTTTAAAACTATTTTGCGATATTGCTGTTGCACTGGATCTTATGGTTTAAGTGCGAGGAACATGATGATATTTAATAAAGAAAGGTAACACACAAAATGTTAAAAAACGCCCCTTTGGACGTAATTTAAAATCTGAAACATTTCAGTTTTTTTTTTTTTATTTTATTTTGTTTTTTTTTTTTTTATTTTTAATTTTTTTATTTATTAAAGATTCTAATTTCAACGAGTTTCGAAGACTGAATTTTTTTCTTTATTCTTAAAAAGCAGTCTAACTGCAATGATTCATCATAAATATATGTTTTATTATTTTAAGAAAAATTTGTTTATTATGTAGGTATTAAACGTTACTTTGAAAAGTTAATAAAAAGAAATTTGTGTTTCTTTATATATATTTCATTTTTGTTTTCTCGTAGTTATTAGAACTCTGACAGGCCATAAAGCAGGAATTCGATGTTTAGATTTTCATCCATATGGAGATTATATTGTTTCTGGCTCTGTCTCTTGATACAAATATTAAGGTAAATATTATTTAATTTTGTACATTAAATATGTATTATGCATAAAATATAAAGATCTAATTACCAGTTATTTTTAATTTTGTTTGTCTAAAAGTTAAATCACTATTTATTTCCTCCCCCTCCCATATAGTGATATATTCAGCTTTGCACAGAACAGAGCAATTTTTTTTTTTTAACTAACTGAATGTAGTTTAATTTCTGAGCTAATTTCCAGTGTTTTGTGAAATCAAAAATAAACATGTCAAAGCACTTAGTTACAAATGACATGCTGGTATTTATTTGAACTATGCAATGAAGTTTATTTAAAAATAAATCCATGAATTAATTATAAATGCTAAATAAACGTCATTATTTGTATATCTTATTATTATTACAATTTTTATAATTTGATATTTTCAGTTGTGGGATGCAAGAAAGAAAGGTTGTATATATACTTACAAAGTAAGTTCAAAATTCTAATTTTGTTTCTATGGTTGTTTCAAGTAGTTCTTCCTTCATTTTCTTAGAAATAAATTTTCTTAAAAAAATCAATGTTAGAGCTAGTTGTTTATGAAATAAATATATAAATTAAAAATCTTCAATGGAAGTATTGTTTGTATGTTATTATAGTATTACATAATTTTCATCTTTCAAATGTAATTAAAGTGAATGGCTCCTATCTCCCCTCAATATTTTGTGCAAAGTATTTTGTCATTGGATATTTGTATAAAATCAATTTTGGGAAATATGATGCATAGTTAGTGTATGTAGTGGATTCAGAATGATTTAAAAAACAAAATTAAAAATAGGTATAATAGTAAGATTTTGTATTCTTTATTAATTGTGTAGTGTTTGATTATGCAAAGTCATAATGAAACTGAGCAAAAATTCTTTTACAGAATAGGCTTTTATAAGGCAATAAATTAAAGAAAAATTTAATAACTTTGTTCTGTTTAAACCTTGACACTATGATCCCTTTTTAACATAATAAACAGAGTCCCAGCACTCATCTGCTGTGAAATATTTTAAAATTGAAGTTTCATTTTGAAAAGAAAAAAATTATGACATGATAAGTTTATTTTTTTATTGATTTGATTGTTTATTTAATAAATACAATTGTATTTTTTATTTTAAGTTCTTTATAGCGTGATATATATAATTTGATATGCATTTGTAATTTGCTTTTGTAGGCTGAAGTCAGATCACTTGTTTTACAACTCTTACCTTTCTGTTGTCCATTATAACTTGACAGCACAACCCCTCTTTGCACTTTTTTTCTCATTTTGTTATCAGCTTGAAATAACTTTTTCCCTTTTGTATTTTTCTTTTTTAAATATGTGATAGCAAAATCAAATAATAGTTTGCATTCATGATTACTGAAATAACAGGTGTTAAGCACAAATATGCATTGAACATGTTAGTAACAGACATAACATACTGAGATGTAAATTACATATGTCATGATAGAAATAATAATAGAATTGGATTGCATATTATTAATGTTGCCACTGTGGCACCAGAGGCATGCAAAGGTTTATAATATATGTATTTCCCAAATCAGATATTGATGTGTCAGTTATGCAACCATTTCTTATTATTGCTGTGTTAAAAAATGTATATATATTTTAAATATAATGCTTCTTAACTCATTTATTACTGGTGAAATTAAAGTGAAACGTTATTGACAAAACCCTAAAAGTAATGAAATTTTTTGCAGACACTATTTTAGTATTACACTAGTATCAAGACATAAGGTTGCATGCATAAAATATGTGATGTCTTGAAATATAATTAATATGTTGGAATGAAATTTTGTGGGCAGATGCCTATTGTGGGAGAGTATATGTTTTGTGAAATGCATCTAAAAATGGTTAAATAAAATGCAAATGAAGCCAAAAACGGCTAAAATGTGACTAATTTATAATTCCAGAATGCGTAAGTTAATAAGAATTGTGGCCACCAATTGTAAGTTTTATATGGTTCGCAAGTGTTCTTCATATTAATCATAGCATTTTGTTAACAACAAATTCCATTCTTGTAAAACCATGGATTTTAATATCTGGAAAATCCTGGGGGTACACACATCATCATGCTATACCTCTTTCTTAAGTATATCGAACATGCTAATAGGATTTAGATCTGGCAACTTTAATAGCCATATGATGCGGCAAATACTTTCTTCCTTCAGAAAATCATTAGCCAGTCAAGCTCTCTGTGTCACCTTTTTATCATTTTTGAAAATGAAATATTCTCCAATAGCTTCCCAAAATGCATCACATATAGTTCAAGAACCTCATTCCTGTAATGTTGAGCACTAACATCAAAGCTATGCAGTGGTCTGTGGCTCTCCAGCATGATTCTCTCCATACAAGGTTTCCATTTCAGCCAAAGTGTAAATTTATCTTATATTTTCTTTTATATTGGAGAGTTAAAAAGTGGGGGATTTATCTCTAAATAATGACTTATCAAGAATCACTCTATGTATTGAATCTGGACTCATTACTGACAGCCCCATTCTTGCTGTATCCAAGAATGGCTTAGTTCTATAAAAGAAAAGCTCTCTTTTGTGATCTGTTTAGAAAACACATACTTCTGGTTACTAGGTAATAAGGACCTTCTCTGTGAGGTATGTGCTCAGTTTATCTAGAAATGGTTGTTCCAGATGCAGTGATGAAGTCCTGAAGAAGCTATCTAGCCATCATTATTTATGGCATCATTGCAAACAATTGCAAAATTCATTTTAACTGAAATGAGTCAATCTTATGATTATTCTTACTGTTGCAAAAAAATACTTTTTCCAAGTATTTGCATATTTTCTTTTGTAAAGACAAATTTTGCAGAGTTGGAAAATGGTCATTTTTACATTTTCTTAAATAAATACATACTTTTCAAGAACAACTAGATGCATACATATTTACCTTCCCAAAATTATATATGACATCAATTTTTAGTATCTATTTTGAATTATTGCACAAATATATATATATAACTTTGAATATTGATACTAAGTATAAAATTTTGTTACACCAGTTGAGTTTAATACATACTAAATAGCATCAAAGTCATGTCTAGGCAAATTTGAAGTCAACTAATTAAGTATACTAAATATTTTAAAGTGGGTTTTTCACTAAATGAGCCGTCTAAGGACTAAGGTTCACATTATCAAATATATAGATATAAATAAAAAACTTTTATTTATTTATTTAGATAATAGATCAGTTCTACATAAAGATCATTTGTGATTTACTAAAAAAGATTTAGAAAAAAAAAAAAAAAAAAAAAAAAAAAAAAGTTAGGTTATAAAATGTACCGAGGGAGACTTTTATCTTTAAACATTGAATGAAATACTAACCATGCTCTTGACAAGGAAATACTTAGAAAATAAATGGTTTTTTACTAAACAATTTAGTGTCCATATTTTTCTGGCTAAAAATAAATAAAATTACTAAAATCATTTATGGTAAAGAATCTAAAATTTAAAATATGTGTGAAATTCTATTGAGACTGTTTTAAATCTATTTGTAATCCTGAATTTAATACATAAATAAATATTACATTGAATTACAATTACAATTGAACCAAATATATGTTTGTTGGTTTTTCAGGGCCATAGCAAAGCTGTCAATACCCTAAAATTTAGTCCAGATGGTAAATGGGTAGCCTCAGGTGCAGAAGATGGTTCTGTGAAAGTAAGTACTTAATCGAGATATGCTTTTTACCATATTCAGAAAAACAATTGCTATTCAATGCAAGAACTGTTGCAAACTCAGAAGAACAAAACACACAAATAAACTAACTAACTAAATAAATAAATAAATAAGTAAATAAATAGCAAGATAATATGCTGTTGTCATTTTAAGCTTGAAATACTTTTAATAAAATTCAGCTACAGACCTGTTAAGACAATGGTAATGAAAATTGTGTTTTCATGTTTATGAACATAATACAATTATGGGCACCTTGAACATTTTATGTTTTCAGTGCATTAATGAAAATAACTGAAATTTTTTATTTCAAAATAGATTTTTTACCTGTAATGTTATTATTTTAACCAACAAGAGGACACAAATAAGAACACATGTGTGGTGAAGTTAAAAATTGCAGGAATTTTAAAACAGAATCCATTTATAATAAAATTCTTTATGCCCAAAAGGACCTTATTAGAATGAATTCTAATTATGAAGAATGCTGGTGTTTTTCTGATTTTGCACAGTAGTCACTATATTATTTTTGAAGACATTCAACTTTAACCTGAAGTTGCAATTAGAATGTTTGGCACTGGTATGGTTTTCTTCTTGAAAGTTAAGATTAGATTTCTTTTTTAAATGTGAAAATGTGAACAACCATTGAAAAAATGAGTAAAATACAAATAACAGTTGCTGAAGTTTAGCTTCTTTTAATAAAAATTGGCATATTTATTTTCCATATTTTGATGCTTTTGAAAAAAAAAAATAGCTTTCTGAGGCCAAGATTTAATAATATAAATTTTATTTATATATTTACATATTTTTAATGGATTTCATTCAAATCAGTGCTCAGCTATAAAAAGTAGTGAATCCAGTAAACATGTACATATGCCAGTGTAGCAAATTAGTGTATGTTATTTGCCACCTTGAAATTATCTTCTTTTTCAAGTAAATTCTTGTCTCTCTTTCCTGATTTTGATTTTTATCCCACAAAAAATATCGTGATTTTGTTTGTATAATCAAAAACTCCACAGATTAGATTAGATGGGTATCTCTTTCGTTTCATTGCATTGCAAAACTATAGTTGGTTTCACTCATTTCCCCCCCCCCTATACAGTACAGAGTCCGAAATATGGATGTCCAATATACAGACTAGTCTAATATCCAAATCTCCTGATATTTTGCAAAAATTGAGAAAGAAGGCCAATGTAATCATTTATTATTATTTTTCACTTTTATCGCCACCATATAACTATCAATACACTTCAGTTTGGCAAATGACTTAAATAGCCATGCCTAAAACAATTTTTGTTTTAAATTTCAGTAACTGAATATTAAACAACATGGTAACCTTTTATTGTGACATTATGCTTGGGGACCATTGCAAACTTAAGCCAACTGTGTTGCAAAGTGTGTTGAGGAGGAGAAATAGTTTTCAGTTATGCTCCTGGCACATGATGATGTGTTGGCCATCATCTGCCAAACAGGGTGTGCATGTGTGTTTGTCATCTCTAAAGTATTCTTATAACTATAAATTATTTCATTAAAAAGTCAGCAAAATACATGGCAGGGGCATAATGGAAAGGTTCTTAAAGTATAGATAGTAATATATAGCAATTAATTTCATCCAGACTCAGATAAGCCGTAAGCGTATGCAGCAAATAGATATAAGTATAATAAAGAACAAAACTAATACGATTTAGGCTTAATTTCCTTAGGATGGAATAGAACTGAGATATTTTTAGCCAAACAACAAATATATCTTAGTCATCAATCTCGTGATATAATCACCAATAGTGTATATTCGATTCTCACTAAGCTTTATTATGATATCCTTGAATTTGAAGGTTTTAGGATATTGCAAATAAAAAGCAAAAATTTACAATTACTGGAATTTGTGAAGAAATTTGCAGTAGTGTAGTAAATGAGGATGATGTAACAGAAGTGTTCCATTGAGATGGCAATGTCCTGATAATCAGTCATTTAATGGATGCCAAACATCTACAGTATGGTTCCAAATTAAAAACATTTTGCTATCCATAAAGAGATGGAGAGCTTGATGGGAATGAAAAAATTTCATTTGACAATTGCATTAAAGGAAAAATTACTCACTTTATCACACGATTGTTTTATAAATGGTTGTTCAATTTACTAGAAGCCTACATTATATAGATTGTGTCTTGTTTACAGTCATGCATGTAAAACCGAAATCTAAGTTTATCACCTTTTTAATGCTTCCAGTTCTTATGAACACTGTCATTAAGTTCTCAGTTTTTAATGCTATTTGCGAGACTAAAAACTTGTTACCTTTTCCCTAAGTTATCAAATACTAAGTTACATTTGATTCAGAAAGAATATGAAAAATATTTTTCAACAGTTTTCTTCTTACAGAATGCTGTAGAAGAACTGTAGGGTTTCCCTTATTTTGCATAATGAATTTTATTTTAAGTTTGATGCTTTTACTGAACTTCTCAATTTGCCCTCACATTTTCTCACCACGATGTAAAGTTAAGTGAAGTGCATATATAAACGAGTAAATCTCTCAATTTATTTAGAGTGTGTTTTCCCTAGCCAGTGCACGTTTTGTTGCTGTTATGCTGGTAAGCCTCTTGGCCGTTCTGGATTATCGTCACGCCTGTTAGGTTTTGTGAGTCAACTTGTTACGCATGTTTTAACGTGCTAATCTGCCACTACTGTATTTTAGATTTTGACTTGAATTATTCTATGTTTTAGTTTCACCGCAAGTTGGCAGTGCTATTGTAAAGCACAAAGATCGTGCCTGTCTGTTAATTATTTGAATTAAATAAAGGAGGGTTACTTTTCACTCTTCTTTTGTGCTGGTAATTTATTCGTGTGTGAGCGAGAATTCGCGAGGTTCATTGTAGGATCTAATTCAGTTTATGTGGGATAACAGAGAACGATCTTACAATACAACCACAAAAACTGGTATGAAATTCTCACTAATGATGAAATAACTGCACAGTTCATCTCAGTTGCATACTGCAAATAACTAATAACTACATCTCAGGTCCCATCCCATCAGTACATTCTAAACTGCTTTCTTCTTTTACAAAAAGTTATACATCACCCTTCGTTAGCCAAGCTGATCAACGGTTGCAGCAGTTTATGCTTTTAACATCTGCATTAAATTTTGTATGTTATATGCATTCCTTTCAGAATTTTTCATTTAATAAAACATTTGAGCATTCGATATTCAAAGCGAAGCTTCAGAAAATCAAAACCTTTTAAATAATACTTAGGTATAAGTATAATTTTAGGTGGATTAGCATGCTGGAAGTTTTTCTGGAAAATATGTGTGTCACTTATAACCTATAGAGATTTATTCTGTTACCATTAAATTATTGGATTCATCTGTTGTCTCTCTCATTCAAGGTTAATTCCAGAGAATCGCTGTGCTGAGGAATTTAAACAAAAGTTAATGTTAGATATCCTGTATACTTTATATATCCATACTTAATTGACAGTCTCAGAAACTACTCAATTCCAAGTACATTTTTAATATTTATATTATTTGTGTTAATTGGATAGTACTTGTCTGTTTTATTGTAATTTTTCTCTTTAGCTTTGGGATCTTAGTGCTGGTAAACTTCTAACAGAATTTCATGGCCATACTGCATCTGTATCAGGTGTTGAATTTCATCCAAACGAGTTCCTCTTAGCTAGTGGTAGTGCTGATAGGTGAGTATTGTTAAATACTTTTTAAATGACAATAATTTAATAATGAACATTAAAGAAAAAATAGGAAATGTTTCTTTTAATTTCAGTATGAAGAGCTTATGTATGATAATTGAAATGCTAATTATAGCAGTATGTTAATTAAAATATTCTGAGAGGCAACGCGGATTTCAGGTCGGCAGATTTTCGGTATTTGACTGTATTACATTGCTGTTATTTTAATTTCTTATATATATATATAAGAACTGCTTATTTTAAATATTTTTCCTTTTCAAAAGATTTTATTCTGCGCAAATAATTAAAAGACAGTAATATTAGTTTCACAATGCAAGTACTAAAGTAAAAATAATCAGTGTAGGTCTCCTGCAGTTGAAGTTCTTGTCAAACCAGCATGTCTCTAGACAAGCAGTAGCGGTGACAAAATTAAGTTTTTTTGTTATTAATCATGCTGATTATGATCTTACAACCTATGCTATTTGACATAAAAATCCATCCAAATTTTTGTATTAAATGTTTTAAAAATTAGTATGATATCTGAATATAAATATTGTTAAATATCTGAGATGTCTTTGCTTCTCAGGTGGTAAATAATTAGTCTTGTCATAAGGGTGGAAGAGCTTTGCCCCCTTTTCAAAATTTCTTTTATTATATTCAAATGTTTCAGTCTAGTGCTCTTCTGTTTGTTTCATGCAAATAAAAAGGTCACAGATCAACTTTATATATATATGTGTGTGTGTGTGTAAGCAAATGCAAAATTACCTAATTTAATTACTTTTTTTAATTATATATATGCACATACATACATACACACACACACACATCCATATTTATTTGTATTGTTTTTTAATAATTTACTCTTTATGAAAAGAAAGAAACAAATATCTGAAATTAATGCATTAGAATTATTTTTTTCAGGTGCCATAATTCAGTTTTTCTCAAAACCAAACACGTTACACTCTTAAACCTCTTTTCCGTGATGATATGATTTTCCATATTCAGTACTTTGGCACAGATGTGCAACAATATTGACATCGGCTGTTGAAATGCGTCATTGATTTCCATTGATATGAATTATGAAATCAGTTTATGCCAGTTCCAGTTATGTAAGTTCATTTGAGAATTCACCCCTTCTTTGGTGACATATCTCACTTCTGTAATACAGTACAAAGTCCGTAATCCGAATGTCCATTATCCAGAATGATCTATAATCCGGACCTCAAAGGATGCGCGTAGAGAATGCGTATACATTACGCATGCGTGTAAAGAATGCGCATACATTTTGTGCGTATGCTGTACGCATGTGCACGTTGAAAGAAATGTTTAATGAAGTAAACAAATAAATATTAAGCTTTTTTTTTTTTTTTTTTTTTTTATACCCTTTAGATCAAAATTGCTTTTTATTTCATAAATTATGGTGTCATATTTTTAATAGTATAATTTCTGCATGCCATCTTACCAGATTAAAATTGATGATCTATAATCTGGGAAAACGCCTAATCTGGAATCGCCAAAGTTCCGACGAGTCTGCATTATGGACTTTGTACTGTAGTAACATTTAAAAAAAGTCCTCGAATTTTATTATGATGAGGAATGTGGAATTGCATTTGCCATTTACATGGACCTTGGGCACCTTGTGGGTGACAATATGACTTTGCTAAGTTTTATCTAAGTTTTGAAGGAGAATCTCCTAAAGGATGGATTCAATGTTCTGCTTTGTATATTTTAAGTGATTGCATGCTGCAAAGCCGCAACATCCAAGTGTTTTCCTGGGTTCGAGCCCGTCCAAGCAGTAAAGCAGTCAGCAATGTTAACCAGTATACTGATTTGGAAGGTTGCTCTGTGTATAAATACTATTTGCTACTTGTATTAACTGTGTGTTTATTGCTGTTAATTCTGATCATTTTGAGAAATTTTTTTTTAATAATTGCTCTAAGTATAATCAGATTGTCTGGAATTGCTGTGTGCAGCTGATCTCAAATGATCTTCTGATAGTTATGTCAGAATAAAGGTTTTTGCTGTTATTTTGAATAATACGCGAGTGATGTAATAATAAGAAACAGAAGAAAATGATCATATAATCTAGGTGCTGTTTGCTCTTATCAACATCTTCAATGTGCTTCCTATAACATTTCAGCATTCATTCTCTGATAGGATATTTTATCTCCTTTTCTTTAAATACACCATTACCAAAATTAAAGCTGATTGCCAGAAATAAAGCTTTACTGTTACGTATTAGAAAATGACTAACAACAATTTCTACAAAAGCATTATTTACCAGTTGATGAATCTCAAAATAATTGAATCCAAAGTAAAAATTTATGGAAATTTAGAATTATAGGAAAATTATTTCCTCTGTTTTGAAACAAATCTTTCTTTAATGTGGTATATGGTCACCTCTGATAGAAATGCAAGCTTGAATTCATAGAATTTACCTATTTTTTTGATTAAATCTTGTGGAATTGGACATCCTTTTTCAGTGAGTGAATTTCTCAGATCCTGGATGGTTAAGGGATGCATTTGGTGGTCTAAGGTATTTCACTAATACTCAAGTATGATGAGATCAAGTCTAGTGAATAAGCTGGCTCATTCAAATGATACCTTATGTTTCCAGATATTCTGGCATTGCTGACTAGCTAGTATTGTGATGAGTGACATTAACTGCTGTCCTGATGGACCCGGATGTGAATCCCATAGAAGGCATGGATGTTTATAACCGTATAGTGTCTTTGCAGCAAGGGGGCACTTAAAATACCTGTCAAGAGGTTGGTGGTAGGGGAAGGAGTGGGACAAACCTCCAAAGTGTTCTCTCTGAAAATTTGGGGCTCAAAGCCAGGCAATAACTAATACATACCTACAGGAATACACAGGTGCTGGCCTTGCTTCAGTCTGTGCTTGTATTCTGACATCAGAAATACTTAGTGTGGAGAAGCATTTTCATCCAGGCTAACAGCACTTGTAACCAGTTTTAGGGTTCAAAGATCTGTCTGCGTACCTCTGACCAGTTATAGAACCTTCCTTAGATATACGTAGTTCAATAATATGGCCATATTTTATGATTCTACCCCAAACCATGAAACCACTAGAAATGGAGCAGGCAACTTGAACAACATTACACACCTGATTTTGAACATGCATCAATTATGTAATGCCTTATCAGTCACCTAATTGGTTTATTTCATGAGCTAACCTTTGTGCAGAATTCCAATTTTTGCACCAATTGCAGGTAACTGACATAAATAATTACACCATTTGGCACTGGTTGAAAAATCAGTGAACGTATTTTTTCATATTATCCCGTGATTTTGAATAGTAGTATACTTTATTATATAGCTTTCATTTTGTTCCACATGTGAAAGCTGAGATGGAATTTATACATTCCAAGTAAATTTGCTTTAGAATGTGTTTGTCAGAAAGCGAAACAAAAAAACCACATAATATATAATGGTATAATTTAAACTAACTATGCTAAAATTATTTAGATTTCTGAGGTGGGTTTTCATTTTGTGGTTACTATTGTAACAATGAAGTAAAATGAAAATTTTTGTTATTATTTTCTTTGTATGTGCCATTCCATCTGCACATAATGAAAATTTTATATTACTTGATTTTTTTTAAAAGCTACAATAGAAGTTAATTTTATCATATGCTATGACTTAATAATTGCAGGATTTTGTGCTAATATCAATAACAATTTTGTTTTAGGTCTGTAAAATTTTGGGATTTAGAATCCTTCCAGCTTGTGTCTACTTCTGGTGGAGATGGTCCTCCCGTGAGGTAATTTATATAAGCAATTCTTTTTTCCCCACTGCTGCAAGTTTCAGTGGAATTAAGTTGATAACAAGAGATATTGCATATAGGTGTAAAAAAACTATTACAGCATATTAAAGTGTCATATAAAAAATAGCAGCTGTTTAATTTTCAGAGAAATATTTCTGATAGCTTTGTTAAGAATACTGATATTGTAAAAGTTTTGAAGTTTTAAGCATAATTATTTTTTAATGCATGTTAATGTACACTTGTGTCCCTGTAACTAGAATGAATATATTTCAAGACTTAATTGGGGTTGCATAAAGCTGAAGATATTAGTTAATGTTATATAAAGTAGAATATTTGTGTAGCATATGTAATGAAAATTAATTGATGAATTATACATATATAGTATGGAGGTTGATTGAAACATAATGCTTCTATGAACTTACCTCCCAAATCCATTTTTACAATTCATGTTATACATGTCCTCTGTGTAATGCGCTATTCACTTTTTGACATCGTCTCCATCTCTTTCCAAGCAATTGTACCAGTACATGACTAGTTGGGCAAATTTGTACTAGAAGAATTCTGGTAGTAATTGTCAACAGCAGGTTTGAATGGTAACTTTTATCATCATCAGAATAGGGATGTCATCGGAATCATCAGAATGAAAGGGATGTCCCTTAAGGTGCTCTTTCATCTTTGAGAAGAGGTGAAAGTCACTAGGCTCAAGGTTGGGGCTCTATGGTGGGTGCATTATAACCTTCTAGAATTGCAGGCATCGCAAACTGTCTTATGTTTCAACTCTTTAGACAGGTGTTGTCATGTTATAGGATAAGATAGAAATTATTCTGAACATGGCACAGCCATGGGAAGATAGATATTCCCCAACACTGATACATAGCATTGGGGGTTTATTGTGGTTCTCTGTTCCAAGAAGTCAGTGACTTGGAAATGTTTAAAAAAAAAAGTCATGTAAGTTGTGGTACGCTTTGAACTTCTTGGTGCGTGACAGTACTCCAATGATTTTTTGTTCTTGGGGTCAAAATGATGCACTCACAATTGACCCCCCATGAGAATGTGCTGAAGAAAAATATGCTCTTATGCCTGTATTGAGCCAACAGATTCTGGCAGACTTGCTGTCTCTATATTTTGTACTCTTGTGTTTGCATCCATGGTATGTAATGCATGCACATACACCTTATAATAACTCCAGCATACCATGTTGGTTACCATAAAGTGCACTTCTTTTTAGGAAATGTTCAACTCTGTGGTGATCTATCACTGTTTGATTCCATGGTTATCACAAATCATTTCATTGAAATGCCTCAGCTGTCAGATCTCTTGGTTGGTCATCATCTTCTTCAGTTCACTGTACACAAGTGACACTTTGAAACAAAGCAAATATAAGCACATTATATAGAAGACATATAGCTTCCAGGTGCAGTAAGATTTTGCAGATATGAAATAAAAAGTAATGGCCCTGGAGGCATTAATTTTCAATTGAACTTCATTATTTACCAATATATATTAGTGTGTACTGTGCACTACTCTGCATTATATACCATACTATTAAATAAAAATTTGCAAAATATGTGATACCTTAGATGTACCCTTTATCTCTTATACCCATGATAGTAAAGAATTCTGATATTTTAATGTAATCTGTAAAAAATTGTGTGAGAAATGAAGAAATAGCATCCCTATACAACACAGCATAATATGATGTTTCAAGGGGTGAGGGAAATAAGCTTAATTTGTTCTTCTGTCACCAATAATATACAGTATTTTCTAGGTATTAATAGCATAATTATCCTTATTTTTGGAGACCATTATTGTCATATAAACATGAAAGTTGCAATAATAGGACAGTACTAAGCATAGGAAGATTCTAGAAGCAGAATGGGAACAAATTTAAAATAAACAAGGATAAGCAAAATATTATCTGACCACTCTAGCTATGATTTATGTTTAGAATTTACTAATTTTCTCTTAGTTTGTCATACATTCCCCCCCCACCTAACTTTTGACATCTAGGGGGAACATTATGCAATTTAAAAATTTTCAGTGTTATCACTATAAACATACTTCAATATTTATGTTTTCTTCCCAAACTTGCCTAAGAGTAGTGCCTAGATTTTTCAGCCATTGCAAATGAAAATGTACCTAGCTTCAAATATCGCAGAATGTAAATGTCTAGATTTGCTTTCCAGCACAGAGAGATAAGGCTGTAACTCATTTGAAGAATCTCAGTGAATCTGTCATGCACACTCCTATAAACCCATTTCTTGAAGTCCTGGGTGACTGCATATACCTGATTAGCATGTTTAAAACATGAAACTCATTTGTCATATTAATTTTCAGTTATTTATATTTATAAATTAGTCACTTTTTACAGTTAAAAACAATTTTATAATTTCATATTAAAGCTTCATATGTGTTTAAAATTTATTTTAACTTAATCATTTGTTGACTATTATGCACCTAAAAGTCAGACTTCCGGTTTTTAAGGAAAGTGGAATGGGAATGGGAAACTCAGTGATGAAGATTAAACTTTGTGTTCTTTTATTTAATCTCTCCCATTTTATTATGTCAGTAGTTATATTTATGCACACCAGTTTGATTACATAATTTTTCTCTTCATGAAGGTGCGTATGTTTTCACACAAGTGGGTTATGTATGTTCAGTGGATGTCAGGACATAATGAAAGTTTATGGCTGGGAACCAAGTTGTACTTATGATTCTGTTCTGACTGGCTGGGGAAAAGTTTATGATATGACAATGTCTCAAAACCAGCTGGTAAGTAATTGATGTTAATAATTTTCTTTCTGTCGTTTGGTTTCCAGGTAATAAAGTTAAAATAAAAACTATTAAGCATTTTATTTATTTATTTATTTTTAATTAAAAGCAAGATTAAAAAACCAGGATTTGTACAGCAGTTTTATTTCCTGCCTTGAATTTGATTTCTCCAGTTTGATTCCTGCCTATGTTTAGCTTATAATTAGTGCAATTTTTCTCATATAAATAGAATTTTGTCTTCATTGCTACCTTGAATAAAGTCTGAAATATGATTTCTGTATCATATGTTGCAGTGGCAGTAACTTGTGTTAGAACTTGTAACCAAAACTGAATTTCTTGAGACTTAGTATACATGCACTATACTGCAAAGTAGAATGACTTTACAAACTAAACATTTCTTTCCAGAGCTTACATTTATAGCAGTCAACCAAGTTTGTTCACATGTATATATGCATTATAGATTAATGTTGCATTACGTATAATGAGTGTTATAAAATAAAAAGAATCTGCATTCGACGCAGTAATTTTTGTGAAATGCTTGATATTTCTTTTGTTTTTCATCCTCTTTCTCTCTCTCTCTCTCTCTTTTTTTTTTTTTTTTTTTTTTTAATGTCTTAGTATGTTTTCATGGTTTCATTTATATTCATGTTATGCTATTGTGCTTGCATTCATTTTGATAAGAAAATAATAAAATTTACATAACAATTGTAGTTCTACCACTGTTTGCTTACTGCACATACTTTTTCAGATTGCAGGTAGTTTCTCCATGAATAGTGTCTCAGTATATGTTGTTCAACTGGATACTTTGAAGCCATTCTCAAAAGTAGATAACAGTAATGTGGCATATATTCCAAATCAGTGCCTAAATCCGATGCCTGGGTAAGATTACAGCTGTTTATAAAATTGCTTAAAAATAATTTTGTAAAAAAATTATTATGAGTCCCCCCCACCAGAAAATTAGCTGTGTTGTGAAAAATTAAGTGCATTCCTTTGAAATATTGCAAAGTCTACAGATACATTTAGAATTTTACATTTTGTTTTATGAGCCAAGATAAGAAGTGTATTTTTGTTATGACTTTTATTATTACTATTAATGTCACTGTGTTTACTTCCTTATCTTTTTCCATTGCTTATTTCCGTTCTTAGCACTTTTATGCATGATTTAGAAATCTTTTATTTGTTTGCAAAACCTTTTAAACTTTAATATTGAATTCTGGAAGTGTACTTTTCAAAAAAAACCAGTTCCTGGAATTTCTAAGATTGATATTCTTTGATCATGTGTTTCAAAGCCATTCATTCAGTCTTTAAAATCTTAGCCAAGGCAATTTATTCTCTCCATTTGCGGAGATAAAATAAATATGCATTGTAAAAGCAGCAAACCTTGGAATTTCCATCCTCTATTGCTAAAAGGGATAATATAAGAAATTTTTATGCTTCATAGTATTGGACATAGTCGTCTTGTCAAAAATGTAAATTAGGTTTAATTATCCTTTGTCATTGTGTTGTCTGTTCATTTTTAGCCTTTCATGACTGCAGGATTCTATGAGCACTGAAGATGCATTATGCAATGGTCTGTTTCTGTCATTCCTTGAGTAATTTATCATTCCAGACTTTTACTTGATACTGAGAATATTCAGATTAAAGTTACAAAAACTTAAGCTAAAGAAGCTTAAGAAGAAATTTTGTTTTTATCTGTTGTTTAGTGAAAGTTGCAATGTCCATTGACAAAAGCAAATACAAAAGGCAAAAGCAAATATGATATACAGTAGCAATTTTAAAAAATTACTAGAGGCATTCATTAACAACAATATTAGTACATGTATTCATATGCACTTTTTTAATTGTGTAAACTCATTCCCGCTCCTCTCCCTTCAAAATTGGTATGTACCATGTTGTTTTATTAATTTTAAAGTTTATGAAGTTGAAGAGGAATTTGTGCAAGTAAATGGAATATTTGTTATTCTTACTATTATTTTTTATATTATTCCTTCTGTTGTTATTGTTAGTATAACTATTACATTATTATTGTGTTGCATTTTTCATTCAGTATATATTGTTTGTATTCCTTTTAACAGATTCACGTTCCTCAGAATATGTGCATTTACTGTTACCAGCTTGTTGAGAACTGTGCATTGCGATAGTAGTTTTTTTTATAGGAGGGGAAAAGTCAAAATATTTGAAATGATTTTGAGGTAAATCATGAAATTTTGAGGCCTAGGATTTGCATCCATATCTTTGTGAAATTAGTGGTTACCCTCCTTTCAGAAAAACGTTTTGATAAGCAGCAGCAACTAGCATGTTTATAAATATGTATTCTGTACATTTAAATTGACCACTAAAGTTATATACGATCAAATTCCAATAATGTTACAAGACAAGTTATAAGATTTAAGTGGCTTGTATATTGATGCACTATAACACATACACATAGTTTTTTCAATGTGTATACGTTTTTCTATAATACATATTTAGATGTAGTAAAGATATCTCAGTAATTGTAAAATTATTTAAATGTGAAAAGTAATCTGGCAGTTATAATAAGATATCAAAAAATTAGAAATTAATGCATATATTTGATATTTTCAAAATTAAGTTTCTTGTATACTGGCAAAAATGTACACTAGCAATCTAGCAAAAATTGAGGCATAATTCTCTTTGCTGTTAGCGCTGCCTCTCTCTGTGGCATAGGTTTTGGGATCTGCTTATGAAGACTTGTATTGAAACTGCATTTATTAGCCAAATTTGTGTAATTACTTATTTTAATCTTTCATAAGCTTTCATTCGTTAAGATGATATTTGCGTCATTAAAGAAAGTAAGAAAGCAAAATACTTTTAATTATAAACTAATAAATACCGACTAATATATACGAAAAAAGTCTCATGATGAGAGAAATGTGGTGTGTGTGGTGTATTTAATTATGGCAAAGCACACTAGGGCTATCTGCCTAAGAGGAGGGATGCCTTCGTGGAGGACTTTCTAAGGGGAACTGGCTCGTATACACGTTACACATGGGGAAAACCACGAAAACACCCATGCAGCCAGCCCGTTCGCGGGATTCAAACCTCGGACCGAACTACCAGTGTTCAGCGACTTTACCGCTCGGTCGCTGGTGAGCCTGAGAGAAATGTGATCATGCCACTCAGGGTTAAAGTTACTAAGCATGAAAAATAATCTGGCACTTTAAGCTGAAATTCAAAAATGTGATAGTCATAGATTTATTTGGCATTCCTGAGAAAGTTTGAAATTTGCAAAATTTTAGAAAATGTCTTAGAATTGAAACTATAGAAAAAATTTGCATTAGGATAAAATTATTACGATATCAATATTCCATTAATTATAAGCATAGTAGTTGTGTTTCATACAAAATATGCATACAACTTTTATAGAATTAAATGTATTTAAATATTTCTGTAAGAAATCTGTATTTGTGTTTTTAGTTTGAAACTTTTATTGTAATGCTGTTTAATCAATTAATGGACTGCTTTTACTGTTGAGGTACTAGGTTTTTGGGTATTAGGATATATAGATGAATGTAGATGCTAATCACATGAACAAAAACTGCATTGATTGCTGTTTTGCTGCATTTCAGAATTAGTGTTTTTACCCGAAAGCATGTACATTGTTATCTTGCTGTTTTATAGTATAGTATAATTTTGTTATATTATTTATTATTTTAAATTTTGTTTCATTAATTTTAGTACTCATCTGCGAAAAAATTTTGAAAAGGAATCAGGGAACAGGAAACTAACGTAAGTATATATATTTATTATCTTATGCATTTTTTTCTTAATTATTCTTTGTTCTATAAATTTTGCAGTATTTACATCAAACCATTTTTTATTCATGTTTTGATATTTATGAGTGTGAAATAAGTCAATAATTCTAAATTTTAATGTGACAGTTTATGATCTCATGCAATACTGCATTTTTCAAATGTGTTAGGGGTATTTTTTACAGGTCTTTGGATATGAAAATTGTTGATAGTGCCAATCAGGATTATGATGTTGAAAATGATAATTTCAATTATGATGATATTGAAGTGATTGATGGAGAACAAGTGTTCGTTCCAAAAAGTGAATGTATGAACCTTTTATTTATTATGTATCCATATAGATTTTTCCCCTGTTCATTTATAGAGTCAGTTATAGACCTCATTATCTTTAATAGTTTTTTTAGTTCTAGTTTTCATTTAATAAATTTACTTTTCCTGTATTTCTCAGACCTATTTAATATTACTTAAATGTTTAAATTATTAATGTTTTAAATTCTTATAATTTTTTTCATTCCTTTTGTTAGTGTGTCGTACCCCACCTAAGAGTGATCCCTTCCCAATCCCCTTGGATGGTATGAATTTTGTTCCTTTAGCTTTTTCCCATTTTGATTTATTAGTGAAATTTTATAGATTTGATTTAGTAGAAAACTGAGGTGTGTGTTTTGGCTATTGCTGTCTCGTTTTGAAAGTTAAGTCATATCAAACTCAGACTGCATGTGAGCCAAATGCATGATCTGGAAACAGCCCCATTTTTTTACAAAACAAAATTTTATACCTCCCCAAAATTTTAATAACCTTAATTTAACTTGTTAAATATTTATCAGATAATATTGCAGGGAGAAAACATTAATTTTTACTTATTTTCTACCTGAAATATAAAAGTTTGGTACCTGTAAGATATTTTTTTTTTCTGTAGGTTGCACTTTGTAATTTAAATATATTTACAACTAAACATTTCATTATTTGAGTGGCATTTCTTTGAAATAATTCTAATGCACTTCGATTCTGCGAAAGTTTGTAGTCTTGGAGAGAAATTGCTAGACATTATCTTTTTTGTGGATTGTAAATGTCCATCAGTCAACTGGGTTCTTTTCTTTTTAATTTTCAACTTTGGAATAAAGCTAGCTGTTCACATATAAAGGTATTCTCAAACAAAGTGATTATTCTTAGTTCAAAAATTCGTAACTGAGCTTTTTTATTTTTTAACAAGTACAAATAAATGTTAAATCTTTATCTTCATATCCTTGAATAAGATTTATATCACATTGTAAATTAATTAGCTTCATTTATAGAATTTTTGGCAGATTACTCACATTTGATATTAACAGAAAGGAAAATGATGTAAGCTCTTAACTTCAAATTACTGAAATCGTGAAAAATTTATAATACTGTATTTGTAACAAATGCATAATTGAAATGTCTTTGTACATCATATAAAATTACTATGGGGGTGCATGTAGCTAGAATGTCATCAATTTGAGACCCCACCGTAACTTGTGTAAACCACTTGTGTAAGTTAACTTTTTTGTACAATGGGAAATTAGAGCACAAGTTTAAAATATAAATTTCTTTTCACTGTCTGTATTTAAAAATTTAAATGTCGGTACATACTTAAGTATGATTAGGGCATAATTTAGCATTGTGTAGTGATCTTAATCATAATTTGTTTTAACCTATTTCTTTTTACTAGAATATAAGAATTATTTTGTGATCATAGTTTTTAAGCATAGTTATTAATAAAGGATTTTTAAATTTTAAATTTTATGACTTTGTTGAAGTTTCTGTGTTACATTATTATTTATTTCATAAAACTTTCTTTTCAAAATATGTTGTAACTGTTTTGTTTTGATATTATTTGTGTTAAATAGTAAAAGTACTATTTAGTTTCAAATCTTGAGCCTGTGGTTAATTTACAAACAAATTACTTTTGTGTTGAACTCGATTGTTACAAAGCTTACACTTCTTAGCTTGCACTCTTTTAATTTCTTTAATTTAAAATTACAAAATTTAACTTTCTAAAAATGTGTTTGAAAAAAGAAGAGAAAGTTAAAAAAAATTTAAGTATCTAAATTATTTTAGGTTATTTCAGTCAGGTTCAGGTTTTTCAAGTTATTAAAGTCAAATTTTTCTCCAGTTGATTAGAAATTTGAAAACCTGAATGTTTTCAGATTATTTTGAAAAGGTCTGTGTGTATCTATAGGTGATTAGTGATTTAAAAACCTCATTTAGTTTTTAGATTATTTAAAGAAATTTATGATTTGTTGGTAAATCATTGATCTAAAAATTTATCAGATAGTATTATCAAATAAATTTGATGGTTATATGTCAGCATGTTTACTGAAAAGTATTTTCAATTTATATTAAAAGCTTTTTTTAAAAGAACATAAAAAAATATTGCATTAAATATGTAAAAAGTGTTTATGTTGTTCAGGTGTATAATCCGTAATATATACATCATGCTTGCATAATATATACATGTACACAAATTTATTATGTCTGAATGCCTGTTTCCTACAAGTCTTGTTTTAATGAAATCAGATCTACAAAAAGAAGCTAGTATTTACTGTTGATGCAGTTTGTTGACTGTTATGATTTTATCAAGCCAAAATTTTAATTAAAAAATATATTTTTATTAAACATTGTTATAGAACTGATATTTGTCAAAGAAAATTTTCAGTGTTTACTATTATTATTATTTCAGAACTAATTTTAGCATTTAGCTTCCTAGCTTGAAGTACATAGAAAAATAATTAAATATGTATTTGTTAAATTTGATTAGCTTGAATATGAAAGACAATTTTGAAATTTCAATTACATTACAAGTACTGAGAATACATAATAATATTTAGTTCTGTGCAAATTGACCTTCATGCATGTGATGCAATGAATAATTATTTTACAAACATACATATTGTCATATATCTTTTCTTTTCCATAAATTTGTATTAAATTTAGCATATTAATTTTTTAATCTTAATTTTTATATGTACCTCTATAAAATGATGTATCATATGAAGATAGCTTAAAATGAAGCATGTTTATCAAGTTTTAATATCTAATATATTATATTCTTTTATGTATTTTTTTTAAACTTCTGAGTGGCTTGACATGCTTTTATGCAGTCATCAAGTTTGTTGTTACTTGGTGCATATTACCTTTTCATTTGAATTTTTTAAATTTTATTTTTGCTTATGATATAGCCATCATTTTGATAAATCGAAGGTTATGAAAACATTGAATAAAATAATTAATTACATAAATCTAATTAATAAACGCTGTTTAAATATATCTCTTTATGATAGAATCCAAAAAGCATATCACTCAGAGAGTTAATTGCAGTTTATTATTATATTTCTTCTTACCTGAAATTAAATGAATATTTTCTCAATTGCAGTATCTGAACCTGTAAAAGGGGACTTCTTTATTAAAAGTGTTGAAAAAGAGACTAAATCTATATCTGTACAGTCAACATATACTGTCACTGAAATACCTGAAAAACTATCTAAATCTCCTGTTTCATCTCCAATTAAGAGTGGATCTCCATTAAGAAGCCATTGTGTTCCAACTACTATCTCTTCCCCTTCTACAAATATAAGATCTCCTATGTATACTCCATTTAGTAATGTTCCTGATACATTTAGTTCAAAGCCTACATTTGGTGGTGACAGAAATGTGCAAGGAATTAAGAAACCTTGTGAAAGAGCAACTGCAATCAGGTGGTCTGGTTATCCCCCAGAAGCTGTGTCTATTGTACGGCCTACTACATTTGTGCCTGACAAAGATACCTTCATGCAGAGAGTAGTAATGTATCCAGATCATATGAAAGCAAAACCTGTTTCTGTTGCACCTGACTATGTCCCAGAGCAAAGGGATAAGCCTGTTGGTTTAGATGTGGATGATTTTTTGCCAGTAAGTGAAACATTATTTCATTAAAACTATTGTATGTATTAAGGAATTGAAGAATTGATATTGGTTATTAACTCTGCAGTTCGCCAGGCCATCTATGTATGTCCTAGAATTTTTGTAACACCTTTAAGTTAGTACACAATACTTGCATGTTAAAATGTGTCCAAGAAATTAAAACAGTATTTTAAAAGGGAAAAAAAATCCAGGTTTAAAGTACCAGTGGTATTTTAGCATTATTATAAAAGAAAAAAAAATTACCTCCTTCCATAGCAGTTTTGGAGCCTGTCCTATGGCTGGTTGGAGGGTTACACAGCAATATAATTTTAAAGATGCAAATTTGTGTTCAGTCTGTTTTTGATTAGGAACAGCATATTTTTTTAACTTAATCTTTATTGTTTTAAGGTTTCATTGTTTAATAAGGTAAAAAAATTATCTCTCTCTTTTTTTCTTTTTTAATTTTATTAATTGCTTGTGTGACCAACCATCTACAAATGCTTATTTATAAAAAAAGAAAAAGTATACAATAGTTTTAAGATGCCCTGCTAGTAATTAATAATAACAGAAATGAAATACTGGATTTATTAAATTGCTTAGTTTGTTAATCAGTAACAGAGAGATTAAAAGAAAAGTTAAGCATCTTATTCTGTATGAAATGACAGCACACTGGTGCTTAGAAGATAATGTTTTATTTTGGGCAGTGGCAGAACATTTCTGTGAAAAGGTAGAGTTTTGTGATTAAATTTGAAATATGGAATATCTTACACATTGTCGAGTGCAGCGCATTGCTTTTAAATCATCGAGTTTGTTCATTAAAATGTCATTAAATTAACACAAGATGTGAAATGAGAAACAAATTCAAAATCCAAGCTTCAAAGTGACATGTTCTGGTGAAAGACTATGTGTGTTCAAAATTTGGTAGCAGTAGGTATTGCCTTTTTCCCACAATGTGAGGAATATTCATACATACAGATTCTTCTTTATTTAAGCACAGAGATTGATTTAAAACAAAAAAACAATTCATTTTAAACATATTTTCACTTTGAGTTCGATATTTATATATATATTGTTTTTCATTTTATATATATAGAAAGAAAAATTTACTTTTATCTAATCATTTTTTCACATAATTCTAATTTAGTACTTTCAGAAAAGTTTGATTTTATTATGTAAAAAACTGATAGTTTTATTATTTTAGAAATCAATGCAACAGTTTCTTGGAATTAGTCAGTCTGTTCAGCCAGAAGTTACTGAAGCTGAAGCAATGAATGTTATTTGCCGGGAACATCAACCTCTTCTAATGGTTTTTGAGAGTAGGCTAAAAAAAATTCAAATTATCATTGCTGTCATGAAATCTAAAGGCATTAAGGTAAGGATTATATACATGAATTAATGCTTAAAATTTTCTTTTAGTAAAATTATTAACAGTTGTTTAATTTTTGTGCAGATTATAAAGTAAGTAATAAAAACAAAAATCATATTAATTTAAAAAAATTGTCATTACTAAATTTGATTTGAGTTATTGTCTTTATACCTTTTAATTATTAATGCATAATAAAAGATGAAATATCTAGAAAGCTCTGGAAATGCTGAATTCTTTGAGCTAAAGTTCCAAATAATTTAACATGTCAAAAGCACACAGTTCACAGTAGAAAAGACAGGCGAACGAAAGAAAAATATTTCCTGTTCAAGATTATAAAAGAGTCTCTCTCTCTCTCTCTCTCTCTCTTTTTTTTTTTTTTTTTTTTTTTTTGTTTTGTTTTGTTTTGTTTTGTGTGTGTCAGTTTGAATTGGAAACACTTACATTTAAATTTTGCAAGATTTTGAAAGAAAAAGGGCAATTCATATATAAACGAAGTAAAAGATCATATTTCATTATGAATTTCCATCGACCACAAAAATTGCTAAAAATCTTGCCAAACTTGCATTAGTCATTCTGGCAGAAGTTTGAAGGAGCAGGTCACTCTTTAGTTAGGTAACCAATATATACACGATTTGGAATATAACATATAAGAAACTTCAATCGCTTCTCATAATTTTTTACATTGTGCAGCCAATGTTTATCCATTTTCACATAAGTTGCAATTTTTTTTATCTCAGAATTCTGTAATTTTGAAAATGCAATTGAAGAAAAAATAAATAGCAGTTAACTTATATTGTTTTTTATAAAAATTAAATTAAAATAAAAATTAAACCAACTTATCCAGAATTAATCAGATTTGCATGAAGCCAAGTCAAAGATCTTATGATTGGGTTGTGACAAATGTTTATCTGTTTATTGGTGCTAAATCACAGTGCTTGGCAACAGTCTTCCTTTAATTCGAGTCATAGCTCTATCATACATTATGACAGTGTTACAAACCACTTATTTGCTTAATTTTTCATATTAAAAGTATTTCTCAAATTCAAAAATATTTTGGTTATTTGAGTTTTCTTGGTAGTTTAATGTCAGATAGTGAGGCTTTTACTGTTATTAAGTATTGGGTAGTTATTTATGTATTAGTAGATTAAGGTAAAATATGAGTAATGAATCTTTACAATCTTGATCTTTAAATTAATTGATATTATTATTGTGTATAGCATCCCTATATTATAGTGTAATACCTAATTATATGCTGGAATCTGATGCCTGTGTGTAACATACCAGATTTCTTATATGGAGTGTAAAATTATCCAGTAAAATCTCAGTTCACAAATTTAATTCATTCCTGAATGCCATTCGTCATCCAAAAATTTCTTAACCACAAGCTGCTTTTCCTATATTCCTATACTATTAATGTAAAATAGATTAATTCATTCTTGAACCACTGCTGATTATTTATTTGAGCTTAACAACTGTACTTTGTATATAAATTCATAACACAGAATCATGAAAGCAATTAAAACCAGTATATACCCTCATATAACACGGTAGATAAGTTCTTAGAAAATCCCATGTTGTGTGAAACCGTGTTGTATGAGACTCAGAGGCAGTATAAAAAGGGGGGTTATGTTCGAAAAACGTATTAAAAACAGATATATTTTTTTAAATTATACATGAACAACTTAAATTTTATTAAAAATATATATGTTTGTATAGCACAAAACAAAAAATATTACATATTTTAATTTAATGCAACTTTAGTTTAATAAATTTCTTCGTTGTCATTGCTCAGTATAATCAACTGAGAATGTCATTTCAGTGGAGTGAGATTGCTTTCCCTTTCAGAATTTCTTTCTTCATTTAAAGTTCTGGCATTTTCTTCCTTCTATAAAAATTTTGTAAAACCTTCTCCTCCGATTGATTTAGCACGTTCTAATATGCCACCAATTTCATTTTCTGAAGATTCATGCCTGTTTTCTATTTCAACTGAAGAGGGCTATATCTTCTTCTAGCATGCATTTAATGTTGATGCTTTCAGTTCTTTCAGCAACAAAGATATGATGTCAATTCAGTTCTTGATTGAAAATATCTTCCATGCTTCCATTACATTAATCAATTTTGAATTGGTTGCATCTAAAAATCTACTCTAATGCTATTCTTATGTAATATGTTTTAAAGGTATAAATAATACCTTGATCCAATGGTTAGAGTAACAAGTAGTGTTAGGTTAGGTAGGAATAGTATTTTGACATTGGGAGGATTTAAATCTTGGGGGTGACATGGAGCATTATCTAATAGTAATAAGTGCCTTGAAGTTCAAATTCAATGAGCATTCATTTCACTAAAAATTTGCATCTTGTGATTGCCTAAGTTTTAAAATATTTTTAAAATGAAACATGGGCTTGGTCATTTGAAATGCATGCGCTGTAGCCTGGTGCTGCTTTATCAGGGTGATATCTTTGCATAAAAAATCCTTGCATCATATTCCATTTTGCAGATACTTTGAGGTCTAAGAACTAGGATCTTCCCTTCTTCCTTCCTTTGCTTCTGAAGACATTTCTTTTATGGTAGTCTTTTCTGTTATTGTCTTGCTTCTGAAATTGCCGCATTTCTTTCTCTTTTGTTTATTACTCTAATAGTTCTTTCACATGTTCAATGTTAACTTTCAAGCCCCAGACTAGAGACCCAATATTTTAGATTACAAAATATCCTAACTTTCAAAGTTCTCAGCCTATAATATACTCTTGCCATCATTTCCTCGAGGCCAAATTCATGATCCTGTAAAACAGTGGCTGCCAGGGTTTGTTATGAGAGTTAGGGAATGGAACTGATGTTTCAAGAAAACCCTGAGTATTAATTCAATAGCACAGATTACCTCAAAATACCTTTGAAGATCATTTGTTTCTGTCTTGAATGTTTCTAATTCAAGACACCATTCTTCATGCAAGCTGCAAGGCATTTTGTGGTCAAATAATGTGTTCACGAAGTGAATTGTTTGTGATCTGAAGTTCCACTGTACTGAGAGTATTGCATATGTAGATTTATTTTTGTGTGTAATCAAATGGAACTTTTGTTTTTTAATAAAAAAAAATTTATGAAAGTTTTATATACAGGTTATTAAGAAAATTAAAAACATTTTGAATTTTATTTTTTCTGTCTTATAAAAACAAATTCAGTATTTCTGTTAACAGAAAACAATATAATGCAAAGAAAGTAATGTTATATCCACATAGAAGTGATTTGTTTTTCCACAAATCACTATTGCTTATAGTCCATGCAAGTGTTATTGTAATCTATGTAGTATTAAAGGGATATATGTAAATCCTTATTAATTGCATTCTATAAAAACATTGATTTTTTTTAGTATAAAGGAAGTATTGCTGCATGTACACAGAAGTGACATAAAATTACATTTTATGGACCTTTTGTACAATTTAATGCTTCGTGGTGTTCTGATATTCTGTAGTTAAACCTTCTATTTTAATATTTAATCACCCATCATTAAATTTGATCATTAAATTTAGCGATCAACTGTTCAATTCAAGGACAGGTTGGAAGCAGCTTTATACGAAATAATCACTAACCTTAAAAATAGAATGGCTGATGCATTTGCATTTATGCTTGCTATGATGCAAGCAAATAATCAAAGCTCATGAAGTATTCTTAATTTTTTCAGACTATATCTTTCATAATAACAATTTCTAATTTTCAAATATGTTACTGCTTAAGATTGTAGCATATTTGAGCAACCGCTTATCTCTAATGAAAAAAATCCGATATTGACACCACATGGCTTCTTACAGCCTATTAAGTTATACACATTTGTTGCTGCTCTTCATTTAAACTTACATCCTCAAATTATTTTAACTTAATTAAACCATCCCTCAGTTGATCCATCAGTTGAAAATTATGTAAAAAATTGCATATTTTAAATATCCCAATCATTTTTTGCCATACAGGGGTCAGGCTTCTAATTTTATTTTTTTATAACGAGTATAAAACTTTCCCATATATAAGTACAAAAATCAGAGACTGCATTAAAAGTTAGATTTCATTATTTGTTGCAATTTTTTTTTAAACTGCCATTTTCTAAACATGAATATTTTCGTCATTTAAAACCTTCTGTAATTGGAAGTGTATGACTACGACCAACGATTATGAAAATAAATGCCACTTAAGGAGGTGTGTATGTGTATATATGTATATATATAATACTATATATATTGTATTATAAAAATCTTTTTAAACAAAAAGATTTTAAAATTATTTCTGCGCAAAATGCTGCTGAAAAATTAATTATAGACCAAAGTAGTAATAAAATTTTATATATGCATTTGATACTTCCAACTGCAATAAAAAAAGGGAGGTACTTAACTAGATGTTATAGTAGTATTATATACGAAATTTCAATGTTCTATGGTTAATCCTTTTTTTAGTTATGCAAGATGCATACGTATGTAAGTACAGACATCACAAAATATTCCTTTTGAATCCATTTAGAAAAAAAGAGTTCTTTATTATGTCCATATGTACAGATCTCATGCCCCCCCCAAAAAAAATGTACAAATAGATTCAGGTATGGTCAAAATGGATATTTCCATTGAAATATCATATCTGAAATTTTTCATGATTGCAATACTTACTTTACTTCTTACAAGGAAGTAAAAATATGTAACTAGAGATCACCAGGATATGCTTCTTTTATTATAATTTAATAACTTTATTAAACTTATTTAAAAGAAAGCCTTTTTAAAACTTTCTTTATGTTTGTATATATTTTGTTTTAAAAAGCGCAGCTTACTGCTTTAATTAGTAGTTATGGTAACTTAAATTAATATTTGATACAGAAGTTAGAATTCTGAATATTACATTCACAATTTTTCATTGTTGATTTGTGTATTTTTCTATTCATTAAAATATGCTTATAATTCAATGAATAGAAAATATACATGAAAACTTCATAATTTAAAAGGTACTTTAATTTTGATAACACAGACATAAAATGCTACACAGCTGTATTTGATGCCAAATTTAATTTCACAATTTTGGTGTATCATATCTTTTACAAAAAAATAAGTTTCTAATGTTATACTTATTCCATAAAATTCTGAATTATCTAATTTTATTTTATAAGGAGAATTTCCTTTTTTTTTTTTTTTTTTTTTTCCCCTGTGTGCAGCTAATCCTAATTGTGTTTTTCACTTAGTTTCTCGTGTATATGATTATTGAACGGTTCTAAATGGAGGACTGCAGAGCAGATGGTTATAAAAACGAAACTGTTGCAAAATTTTTTTATTGCCTTTTATGTTGAAATCAGTCTTTGCTATTTTTCACTCAAATTTTATTTTGTTTACATTATATTGGGCATTTAGTTTTTTCAGTTAAATATACACCGAAGGGCCATTATGTTATGACCACCCTGTTAATAACATGTAGGACCACCTTTAGACTTCAAATTGCCAGCACCCGGTGTGGCGTTGACTCCACAAGGTCCTGATAGGTAGTCTGAGGTATCTGGCACCAAGCACTCAACTGATCCTGCAATTCCCGCTCGTTGCGAGGGGATAGTGTGGCAGCGTGGATTTGGTTTTCCAGGTGGGATCGCAAATGCTCTATTGGATTAATGTCAGGTGAATTTGGAGGCCAAGACATGACTCAGTGGAATGTTCCTCGAACCTCTCCCAGACAATTCGGCCCACATGCCATTGTGCATTATTCATCTCAATGGAAATACTGTTGTCATGAATGGGTGAACCAGGTCTACAACGACGTTCACATCATGCACGGACATCAGGGATTGTTCTGTGGGGATTATGGGTCCTAATGTGCTCCATGAAAACATTGCCCAAACATATATACACACCCACTCTGTTACTCGGCTCAGTGAGCTCAGTTTTTTGTCTTACATATTGTTAAATTATGCATTGTTTGCTTTAAAAATGATTGAATTATGTTATTCTTATTTTCTGGTTAAGTTTTTTATGCTTTTAGTCAATTCAGTTTTTGTGTGAATATGGATCTGCATGATATAATTATAGAGTTATTATGTTTTTAATTGTTCTGCCTTCTTGCCTGCTAGCCGAATTGCTTGTTTTTGCATAGAAATTCTAATTTTAATTGATTTTAATTGTTGTATTTGGTGTTGTTTTTCTATACTTTTAATTTTTAATATAGATATTTTGAGTTTTTATGTATTTTTGCCTTGTTGCAAAGTGAGAAATGAATTAATTGAATGAGAAATATATCTCTAATGAAATAAATTTAAATGAAATGTAGGAAAATGTGTGTATAATTTAATATTCCATACAAAGAGGTCATGTGGTGTACACATCATTTTTTTGTTTTCAATCAGTATAGCAATATACTTCAAATACAATTAGTTTGTCAATAATTTTTTTTTTTTTTCTAAGTTAATGAATAGATTTCTTGTTTTGTTTGTAAAAAGCAGATATTTTGAATTCGGGTCAATTTTGTGATATAACTTCTTTTCAGGTAAAATTTCTGTCATATGCATAATTTATTTATTTATACAGTTTGAGCTTTGGGTTTAAATTATGTTTATTTTGTTTTATATTTTGAATATTTATTTTTCTTAGTTATAGTTTAATTGTGGAATATAGACTAAATCTTCATATATTATGAAAATAGAAATCAAATAATTCTATCCCCTCTATTCAAAATACTTCATTGAGCACCACAACAAGACCAATTATTCTCCCACCACAACTTCTTTCTGAATGATAAATTTGCTAAGAAATTAAAGTATAAATCTAAAATTCTGAATGATCAATTTTAGCAAACTTCCAGAACTCTCAAATGAAGGATGTTTAGCAATAACGATCATCCCAGTAATCAGTGATGAGAATGTCAAATTAATCATCGGTCTTTACAGTTGCTGGATCCATTAACCCCTTCGTGCCGACTGTCACGTATACGTGCCAGCAACGAACACACTTATCTACCGGCTGACACGCAGGCGTGCCAGAGCATTGTTGCGTTTTCTACCGACTGTCACGTATTTGTGCCAGTACCTTGGAACGTTTTTCAAACTATAATTTCTGCCACAAGATGGCACTGTATGTCCATATGGTTTCAGATACATGTACATTAGACCTTCTACTCGAAATAAGAGAAGCATGACTCACATACACATGTTTTTGATTATATAAACAAACGGGGAACTAAATGTTTCCGAATGGCGTGATTATGACGTCTCTTTAAATCGCACTTTATTCGCACGTGGTAGTTTTTTTTATTGTAAGTAGAAGTTTTATATGCGCTAAAGCGTTGAGTATTTCCATTTACAGTTCAGTTTTTAGAAAATAATTAGATCTTGTTAGACGTGAATTCTTTCTGTTTTTAACCCTTTCAATGTCGAAGCGTCGAAAATGTTTAACAGAGCATGAAATAGCAGAAATGATGCAAAATATTTCAGATATTGATTCTGAAATTCTGATATTGATTCTGAAAGATTCACTGAAAGACATTTTCCAAAACTTTGTTCAGAAGAGACTGATAAAATGAAACAACGATGCTTCGTTTGTTCACATACCCGGAAAAATCTTCCAAAATGGCAAATGAGTTATTACGAGTTCAAGGAATGTAACATAGGACTGTGTGTAGATCCCTGTTTTAAAATCTTTCATACGAAAAGAGAATTTTAAGTAATATATTTAGTTTTCAGATGTATAATGTTAAAAGTCATAAAATGGTGAGTAATTAAAATAAAATGTGTAAAATATGCATTTAAACAAGAAATAACGTAATTAAAGTATATATATATAAAAATATCTATAAAGCATAAGCCGTTTAAATACTCTATAGAGCATTATTAAACAATGTGTTGATACTTCGGAAATTTCATGGATTTAGGCTTAGTAGCAAAAAGGCCCCCGGCCCTGGAGAGACGCTCGCGGAAGACACTGCCGGCCTCCGCGATAAGCACGCGTTTTCACTACCCGGCTCGAAGGGGTTAAATTAAATAACCACTTAATAAGTGAGGTTTGTATATAAAGTGTTTGTTGGGAATATGACCCTTACTTTTAAAGGCATTGTTGTTACTTAATAGTTCATGCAAGTATTACTGTGCTCAATGTATTGTTTAAAATAAAATGTACAAGTCCTCATTAGCTTTCTTTGAAAAGTTTATTTTTTCTCTCCTTTTTAAGTGTTGCAATTCTTGCTAAAACTGCTAATATAACTGTATGATTATACATACATTTATTTAGATGGGTTAATGCACTGCAGTGTTTCACTTGGAAAGTTGCATAAATTTGAATGTTTGTGTGAATATGGATCTAATTTCACTAACAGTAGCTAGAGACCTCAAATTTGAACATAACTGATTGTCAAACATTGAAACTGATTTTTGTCTTATAGTAAAAGCTGGAAATAGCTATTACTATAAGACTGCCAAGATGTTATTTTGAAGCTGGCAAGCATGTAGCTGTTCCTGTGTCCCCTGAATAAAAAAATTAAATTTTCAATGCAGTGTGTTATAAAAATGCAATTAGTTAACTCTTCTGTGGAAGAGTTAAATGAAAAAATTATTAATTCCCTCCCCTTTTGTCAAGAAAGATACTTATAAGTTCGAGATTTAATGAAGATAGTAATTCAGTTGATTCTCTTTATTTTTGTATAAATTTGTATAAATCATGTATAAATTCTCTTACAACTGTAATTTAAATTTTTAAAAACTTGTTATATACTTAATTTAAAACTTAAAATATAGTTATTGAACTGTTTTTCCTTAAATATGAATAATTTTCTTTAGACTGCCACTGAAAATGCCGTTAGTATGAATGATCCAGCAATTCTTGTAGACTTTTTATCCGTTATAACTCGACGGCAGTAAGTATTAATCTGTTTTCCATGTATTTTTCTTCTGTATTAAATTATTTATTATTATTTTTTTTTTTTTTTTTTTTTTTTTTTTTTTTTTTTAGAAATTTTAGGTCTAGTGTAAATCTTTTATGTAGTCAAAGGTTTGGCCTGAAAACCCTAAAGTTTACGAAGATGCTGTGAATAAGTGGTATTTTCTTGATTATAATTCCAAAATGACTTCCTCTTTTGTACCTTATTTCTTTTTCTTCCAATATATAATATCCTACCTTAATTGTGTGGAACATGTAAATAGAGTTTGACCAATTGGAAAATTAGTTTTTTAGATAATTTTTTTAATTTAAAAAATATTAACAACTTTTTTATTGTTTCCATTAGCCATAAAAATAATAAAACTTCTATTTTTATTTTAATGGTTATCAAAATCAAGTACTCTAAAACATGAAACTGTTTGTTTTTAGTGCAATTAGTACGTAACTTTTGAATGCATATTCATTTTTAAATATTTCAGTTTAAAATAAGGAAATAAAATAATTTTTTTATGAATTCAGATTTGATGAATATTTTGTACTTAATATGTTTATAATATTCTATTACACATTTAAAAAACTTCTTCTAAAGTGTTTGTTATTTTCAGTTCACAGATATTGTGTTGTATCAAAATAAAAACTACTGTGGTGATCCACGGTTTGAAAATGGTTTCTGAATCAGAAGAGATTCGTGCACTAACCTAGTGCTTCGCATTAGAGAGTAAAGAACATCTATGATATAAAAATATACTTTTATTTACACAGCGAAAACGTGCAGCAACATTATTAACGAAAGCTCATTCTCCTAAAAAAACATACTTCTTTTTTCACTCCACTTGCGCATGCGCAATGACAATTACCAAAGGAGCTTGGCAGATACTGCCATCTGTTGGATAAACTATTCGCTACATATTCCTCCCACCTGAATTTACTGGGAGGTAAATTCACACATCTGTTAAGTATAATATATGCATAATAGTACAGTATACAATATTGAAGTATAAAATTATGCCTACCAAGATGTTCTAATTAAATTGAAATACAAATTTACCTGGAGATGCAGCATTCCATAATTTTCTAGACATATTAACAGATAATACTAAACCTAGAAAAATAAAAATAAATCAAATTATTACAAAGTATTCAAACAAGTACAAAACATTTCACAGACGTATCACTGGTTTCACAGTTCTACCACTGCTGGTAGTCATAGGAATATTTTCAGTCATATCCTTTTGGACTGGGTTATCCAGCTCAAGTCTGTACAGTCTTTGCACTGGTCTCAGAAACTCAGAAGTCTCTGTTTTTATGACAGCAAGTCTTATTTGTCCATCACGACCAGGTATCAGCTTTATGACACGCGCCAGGTTCCAAAAAGCACGTTTTTTGTTGTTATCTTCAAGTAGAACAATTTCACCCACCTGGAGAGGTTTAGCTATAGAGTTTTTAATGGACTGCTGACGTAACTGTCCTAGATATTCCACACGGAATCTTGCTCTAAGTTGTTCTCTCACCTTTTGTAGATACTTAGCTCGTTTACTCAGTTTTTCCTTATCCACTGTATCGATATCAGGTACTCCTGATTTGGAAATCTCCCGCAGGAACATTTCTGGAGTTAATGGGGATGAATCTTCAACGTCTTCCGACACGTAGGTAAGTGGCCTAGTATTGATTACTCTCTCACAGTCGCATAGTACTGTAAGCAACTCCTCGTAATCCAGGGCAGCACGACCTAGAACTTTTCTCAGAATCTGTTTCACCATTTGAACTAAACGTTCCCACCAACCAACCGCCCCACCAAGGTGCGGAAGGAGGAATAAATTTCCACTGAATTCTTTGCTCAGCGGCCTTTGATCGCAGACTCTCCCAATCAATTGTATGCAGAAGGCTCTCCGCTCCTTTAAAATTACTGCCATTGTCTGAGTATATTATAGATGGTCTTCCGCGAACGAGAAATGAAACGTCTCAATGACTGGAAAAAAGCTTCAGTTGTCAAGGATGTTACTAACTCCAGATGAATGGCCCTATAGACCGCACATGTGTAAAGAACAATATAAGCTTTTCGACCATCTTTAAGGTAGAGGGGTCCTGCCAGATCGACACCCACCATCTCAAAAACATTTGCATCACGTACTATATCTTTCGGCAAAATTCCTGGAGTTACATCACAACTTTTGGATTTAAATCTTTGACATTTAACACATTTTCTAATGCAGTTTCGTACTGTCTTACGAGTTTTGAGGATCCAATACTTTTCCCGCAAATGAGACATCACCATAGAAGTACCAGCATGCAGCAGCTCATTATGTGCATTCATTATTAGTAATTTTACTACTGCATGATCAGATGGCAAAATGACAGGAAACTTAAAGTCATCAGTATCGTCGCGATAAGAAATATTGGTTTTAGCTCTGATCAAACCATCACGATCAACTATAGGTCTGAGGTCTTTAATTTTATCATCGTTCACACTCTTAAATGATTCTCTTTTGAACCAATAACATAAGAGTTATCTCAGCTCTTTCAATTTCCGAAACTGACAAAATTTTGGAGGTTTCGTTTGTAATTCTTCGTAATTTAAAGTAAAACCTAAGAATCCAACCTAACATGCGTACAATTTTCTTTATGGATGAAAAGTACCTGTAATACCAATTGTCAGGTTTAGAATCTTTGTTAAGAGTTGTCAATACTGATTTACGCCTTTTCTGAATTTATGAACTCTCTTCGTCCGGCAAATCGGTGCCTCTTGACCATGACGATTCTGGTTCTAACAGCCATGATGGGCCCTCCCACCATTTCGACAGCAAAAACTGTTTAACTGAACAGCCTCTAGAAGGGAGATCGGCGGCATTCAGCTCCGAAGGGATGTAATGCCAATCTTCTATTTTTGTAAGTGTTCTGATTTCTTGGACACGATTCCAAACGAAAGTTCCCCACCGTACGTCTCGCTGGATCCAGCACAAAGCGGTTGTTGAGTCAGTCCAGAAGAATGTTCTTAAATTTGGCATGTTCAAATCTGAAAAGACCATACATCTCAAGCGTGCTCCGATTAAGCAGGATAATAATTCCAAACGAGGAATGGATATACTCTTTAAAGGCTTAACTCTAGTGCGTGCTTGCACAAAATTCAAATAAACCTTATTTTCGGTCTTCACTCTTAAGAAAATACAGGTAGCATAGGCATGCTTGCTGGCATCGCTGAAAACATGAAGACTTACATCTTCGTTAACCGATCTGTCAATATTAAGCCATCTAGGAATTTTGACATCAGACAGCAGTTTCATTTCATTTACCCATTGTATGGACTTCTTTTCTAAATGTTCTGGCAATTTTTGATCCCAATTTAATCGTAATTTCCAACACTCTTGCAATATCACCTTTGGGAACAGGGTAACGGGAGAAATGAAGCCTACTGGGTCAAATAACTAATGCGCGCAAGAAAGGAGTGTTCGTTTACTCGCGACAATCTCCTCTTTCTTTAGTGACTCAACTTTACAGGAAAGAGTATCATCCTTCAAATCCCAGTTTAACCCTAAAACGCAAACGAATGTATCTAATTTAGAGTTGGGAATTATTTCGGTTTCACAATTCGACTGCCATCCTCTAAGATTAAACTTTCCCAGTGACAATAACATTCTCGATTCTAGTACAAATCTATTCAATTCTTCAACATTCTTAAAACTAGTCAGGCAATTATCAACATAGAAGGACTCCTTCAAAATGTTGGCTGTAACTGCAAACTGATCTGGGGCACGATTTAAATGATAGTTCAACGTAGCGTAGCGGCTAACAAAAATGGACTACAGTTAAGCCCAAAAACCACGCGACTATGTCTGTAAATTTTAGTATTCTCTTCTTCTGCACCTTTCCAAAAGAAACGCAAATAATCTCTATCCTTCTCTCTTATACCAATCTGCAAGAAGGCTTTCTCAATGTCTGAAATTACTGCAAGAGGATATTTCCGAAAACGATTCAACAATGTTGGAATTATTTCTATTAGGTTGGGACCTTTCTCAAGACAATCATTTAAGGAAAGTTCTCCTTTGGCGTGTGCCGAAGCATCAAAAACTGGCCTTACTCGCGCAGTTTCGCTAGATTCTTTAAAACCCGGCCTATGAGGCAAATAGTGCTCTCTATCTACTTCGCCTTCATTTACCTCTTCAATAATTCGTTCCTTCAACCAAGTATCAAATACTTCCTGATAAACTTTAATTTGATTCGAATCTAATAATTTCCTTCGCGTATTAGTCAGGCGTTTTTCTGCCAACGTTTTATTATTAGACAAGCGAGAGGGGTCCAGTACCCAAGGTAATGCAGTTTCATATCTCCCGTCTGTGAATCCAAATTCAAATTTTCCTCAAAATATTGCATGGTCTCCTCATGAATTTCAGCTTTTTTTTTTAGACTCAACTGGGTCATTTATACCAATAACGTCTAACTTCCACAAGTTTTCTGCTGATCTTTCGTTTAGCAATAAAGAAACACATGCAAGAGAATCATTTATACCCGAAGATTCCTTCGCTGGAATTTTACCCATTAAAATCCATCCCAAACTTGTTTCCATCGCGACCGGACCACTTTGTAAACATTTAATATTTCCGGTGAATAATTTTCCAGCAATATCAGAACCTATCAACAATTTAATGTCACTTTCGTTTTCGAGAGCATTACCCTCTACATCTGACACTTGAATATTTAATTTACGAAGTTCTTTCAACCAAGGACCTTTAGGTATTTTCTTAACATCAGAACAGATAACAGATTCACTTAAACAATGCACACTACATACATATTTATTATCAAGGCTACTCAAATTAACTATATATTTAGAATGCAATTTTTCTTTTGTTTCTACACCTCCGAATAATTTATGAACTAATTTCACTTCACCAACACTGTTACATTTCAAAGAATCTGTAATATCTTTCGTTAAATAACTTCTCTCGCAACCCGTATCTATAATCCCTCTGACTATCCTTTCCCTGTTGCCATTTTTTACCCTTACGATTAATGTTTGTAGTAACACAGTAACACATCGGAGCTCGCGGATCTGCTAGCCAAAACATTGACCTCATTTTTCGCCACAGGCTCTACTTGTTTAGTCTCTTTCAATTGAGAAGGAACTTGTTCTTGTTGACACATTACTGCCAAATGCCTTTTCTGGCAAATTAAACACTTAACCTTGGACTTACAGTTACGAAAAATATGGTTTTTCTTCAAGCATAATAGACATAAACCCTTCTTAAATATTAAATCTTTTTTATCCTGATATGTAAGCGTACTAGCTTTAAAACATTTTTCTGTTAAATGTGGCTTATCACAAAATAAACATGATTCCTGAACTTTCTTAATAGGAGCATTTTCTTTAAATTTGTCTCCTGTATACAAATCATTACAAGTAGGAATATTAGACTCATCATTAATGTAACTTTTAGATTTTCTACTTTTATCAAAAGAAAAACGCGCTAATTTAATTCTCTCTTCAGATATCACTTCATTTTTCAAAAACAGAAGAATAGATTCAAGATCGCTCTTACCTTGTTGTGACGAGCTCTCCCGTTCCCTCTCCCACACGCGTAAGATGTCAGGGGGCAGGCAAGATTCAACTAACGGAAAAATAACACTAGCGTATTTATCTTCAGTCACACCGAGAGATTCCAGAGCACGCAATTTTGTTTCTAAACTGTCGTACAACGATGATAGCGTAAAGTCCTTTTTGGTTGCATTATTATTTATCAACACAAGATTCAATAAATCCCGAACGTACACTTGTATAAGAATATCTTCACGTCCAAAACGATTCTTTAAATGTTTGATGACTTTCGGATAATTTTCTTTAGTTGTCGGGAAACTCTGCACTATTTCCCGTGCTTTCGATTTGGCAGCAGTAGCCTGGATCAGATATACGAATTTCAAATGATCATCTAGCACTGGATCTTCGTGTATCTTACTAAAGGTATTCCAGAAATTCAACCATTGTCGTGGATCACCTGTAAATTCAATCAAATTTATTTTCGGAAGCTTCAAATTCGTTGCCGTTGTTCTTGAATCAACAGTTCTGGTTTCATTTACCGATGCATGAGTCAGCAAATTTTTCTCTATTTCCACAGTGATTTGCTTCACTTTCATCCTGGCTGCTATTAATTTCTCCTTGTAAGTCTCACATGACTCAAATTCTTTAGTATATTCTTCTTGCGAGACTTCTTTCGATTTTGATAGGAGATCCAATATTTCTTCATCCAACTGTTGTAGTCGAATTCCTTTATCTTCCAGGATTTCCAGGGACGATAATAGTACATCACTGTTCAATTCTGACTCCTTCAAATGTCCATGTAGGCTATTATATGCTTTCGTGAAGGCTGCACGCAGTGGTATTCTTCTTACTTTCAAGGCTTCCATTTCTGCTGTTAAACCATCAAAAGTGTCCTTTACCTAACTAATGCGTCCTGTCAGACGGACGCCACTTTTTATTGTGGTGATCCACGGTTTGAAAATGGTTTCTGAATCAGAAGAGATTCGCGCACTAACCTAGTGCTTCGCATTAGAGAGTAAAGAACATCTATGATATAAAAATATACTTTTATTTACACAGCGAAAACGTGCAGCAACATTATTAACGAAAGCTCATTCTCTTAAAAAAACATACTTCTTTTTTCACTCCACTTGCGCATGCGCAATGACAATTACCAAAGGAGCTTGGCAGATACTGCCATCTGTTGGATAAACTATTCGCTACAACTACTGGAACCTCAGGGAATTATTTGTAGCAAGTCACATATGCAAGCTAACCATGTGCTAGCTAAATTACATTATAATTATCTTTTCCTTTTATTAAATAAGTTTGCTACTCTCATGAGTGGTTATTTTTCATGAAATAATATTATGGCAATTTCCCCCTTCATTTTGAACCCCTCATTTTAAATACATAATTTAATATTTTATTACTTAAATTTATGGGAGCCCTAAATCTTGAACTAGCTGGCAAATCAAGTGTTTGTTGGGAAAATGACCTCTTTTGCTTAAAATTATATCAGGTGTTAAACTAAAGTCAGCATACCAAGATCAGATTATAACTTCTTAAAGATCACTTAGTATTCTTTGTTCATGCATATATTTTCTCTTTCCTCATTAGATGAAAGCTTTTTTATATTGAAATTTTAATGAAAAAAAAATTTAGTGACATAAAATTTATATGTTTATAATTTTTATTGTTAATTACTTGTTTTATGCAACAGTGTGTGCATTTTCCTCCATTTAATTCCCCCCTTTCAATGAATAAAATATGGCATCATATCTTCTGTTTTTATTTTTCAGAGACTTATGGACATTAGATTTGTGCCAACTATTATTGCCTTCTATTCAGGATCTTGTACAAAGCAAATATGAAACGTAAGAATACTGTATTTTGTTAGAAACATGAAAATATGCTTCATATTTGTGAAGAATAAAATTTTTCTATAATTATGGCTTTCTTAACCAAATTTTGCTTATACTTCATCTTTTGCCCAAATCATACAGAAACTTCCCTTAATGCAAACTCGCTTAAGGCAAATGCTAGGTTAACAGGAATGGCAGCGATGTACCTGATCTTATAGGAAGTTTTATCAGTTAATGTCAATTTTGGTTAACAAGAATTACAAACTGTTTTTTGTCGGTTTTCATCATTAGATTTTTTCATTGAACATGAACTTCAAAGTTTTTCAAATTTTTTCCCTCTTGTTTCTGTCATTTTAGTTAAAATTTAAAGAATTGTACTTATAATAAAATATTTATATAAATTCACTGGACTGTAATATGAATTTTCAGCCCATTCCAACATATATTTATTCTCCAAAAGTTGCAGAAGCACTGTTTGGCAGTCTTGTAGATGGTGCTCTGGTTGGAATGTGACAGCTAACATTAAATTGCAAGCGTAAAGAGAATGAGTTACTGTTGTTAACAACTTGCATCTAATGCAAAAAGCAGCAATTAACACTGAGTTTGGTTAATAAGTCCTAGAAATGACGTTGTTTTAAGAACATAACCAGTACTTTACCTTACATCTACTCTCATTATATGAATGCTTTGATTGACCTCTCATCATTTCAAAATAACTTTTTCATTTTAATAGTCAAATTGTAAAGGATCATTTTTCCCAAAATTCAACTAGTCATCTTCAGTTTTTTGGATAAAGGAATTATTGCTCTTATGAAGAGTTCTTACTGCCAGCAACTTGCGAGAGCTGCAATTTGCATTGCTGAAAAAGAGACAGATACCAATTTAGAATGTGCTTGATGCAATAAAAGCTATTGTTACATCCTGGAAATCTGTGTTATCACAACACAGAACTGTTTTAGCAAAGCTTGGAGGCATAAAGATACTAATCCTGTTGACAAGTTTGATGGTGCAACCACTTTACTTGAGGGATGAAATATTCTACGAACTATATTATATAGTGACTTCTATCAAGTATATTCTATCAAGATGTTACAAACCCTGGTGTTAGTTTGAGGTATATATTAGTGCAGATGACATTGCCATTTGTGCTGCAGTGAAATATGGTGTATAATATAGAATATGGTGTATGTCTGAGATGCAAGAAATGTCATCAGATGCAAGTGAGGAGGACAGTATCTTTCCACCCCTGCCAAGAAGTGTTACATACTTTGGACGCTTTAGAATGCTGCATCATCCTAAACGGCTGCTAGTTTTACAGAAGTTGGCCGTGAAGTTACAAAGTAGTTTCATTCCCATCTGTTAGAGTGCTGTATACAGGAATTTTATTTCAGAAAAAGATCTGTGACATTTTCTGAAGTTACAGTTCTGTAATTTATGTAGCACTGCAGTGTTTTCTATGATGGCATACATAATATATTATAGTATGTGTGTATATGTATACTATGATGTATTGTACTGTATATGTAGAAAAAGCTATTTTCCAAAAAATAAAGTTTGAGCTCCCAGTTAACATGAACTTTCCTTACCCCCCTCCCCAGTGCTTGAAATTTGTGTTAATAAGGGTTTACTGTACTGCATTTTTTATTAATTTTTATAAATGACCAATCATTTACAACTCAACAAAATATAATCTGATAATTTTATAATGCATCTAGAAATGATGGTAAAGTAAATTTTGATATATTTTATTTAAATGCAACATTATCTATGTCTTTTAGAGGTAGTAACTCTATAGAACTTTGGTCCAAGAATTATATAAAAATATAAAACAAGACGTATGACAATATAAGTGTATTGTTTATATTTTAAATCTTAAGATAGGAAGTTTCTGAAATCTAATGAATTCTTTTGTTAATAGCTTGTTGTTAATGAATCTAAAGTTGCAGCTTTCACTGCCCAACGAAATTTTAGAATTTTATTTGCTGCAAGGGTGAATGATAAGTTGAGTTTATTACAGGCCTTTTTTTAATAATTTTAATGAACATAAATAACTTAAAACTTGTGAGTATGGTGAACATTAATGTTCGGTCAAGAAAATGGAGTTTTATGTCTTCATCCCAAATGCTGGAAAAACCAATATTTCAGACTAAAATAAAATATCCTTGCATTAAACATTATATGATCATGACAGAAAAGAGAATTTTAAGAATGACTGTTAAATGCAGGGAATTTTATAAGATGATGTGCAATTAACAACTATCATTTCAAGGGTGTTGTGGAGGAATATTAATGCAGATTTCAGTATTATATTTCTTTCTTGAAACTCAGTGGCTGAGTTGAGGCAAAGTTTTGAAATGCTTTTTAGCTTCATTTGAAGGTATAAAAGTTTTGATTGAAGAGTAAGTACAGTTATCTTTGTATTTTGGAGTACTTAAGTTTATAAACAAGTTTTTTAATTGATGAAATTAACCAAATCTGTCTAGAAATAGTCTGTGCATAATTCTGTTCTTGGTAATTTCTAACATACTGTTGTTCATTTGCATATCATGGATACTACGAAACTATTATCAGCATCTTTACTAAACTATTATCATGCAATATTCTGGAAAAATGTATTGAATCCCCCCCCCCATTCAAATTTTTGTATGTTGCGAAGAATGAAAATGAAGTTGTTATAGCTTTTAATGAAGATAGTGTAGTGGAAATAAGAAAAAGTTAAGATTAAAAATTAGTCTTCACTGTAAAAATGTAGCTTTAAAGTAGATTTTTCAGCTTTAAAATAACACAAAATTAAGGCCCGATATTATATTTTAGATTGAAAAAGTTTCAAATGAAATGATCCTGTTATATTATAGCAAAGTGTTAAGATTTACATTTTGAAGATATTTTTAGGATTATCAGCAAGTTTACGAAAAAGATTTTAATCATATAACTTTATAAATTTATGCATATATTGAGCTAGCGTGTGTTCATTCAAACCTTTAAAAATTAACATACATTTTTTAAATATTTTTTTTCAAACATTTTCTTATGTGCTTGGTTTAGTAGATTAAATAACATCACTTTATTGAAAAAGATTCTTTAAGTAATTTTAGTTAAAAATAATTTTTTGAGGAGTAAACTCTGTTATTTACAGCTTAGCCATAACTTATTTTCTAATTCAGAATTTGTGTAAAATAGGGCAATCTGTGTATTAAAGAGACAATAACATTTGCATATTCACGATGACTTGCTGATGAATACATTTATAAAATGTAGAAACTTGTTTATCTGAAATTAAAATTATTGCAAAATATGTGTAGTTTTTACTTTTTGAAACTACCATTTTAAGAAGGCATGTTATGATTAATTCCTCCCTCCCCCTTTTTGGGGAGGGGATTATATGAGTAATGAAACATTTCAGTACTTTTAAATTTTTTTAGCGTAGTTTGCAATAATTTGTATATATGTATTAATATTTTATTTTTGGTACTTGAAAAAAAAATTTAAGCTTTTTTAATCTAGAGTAAAATTTAAATGCTTATTAAATGTTTTTAAACATTTGCTATTTCATAGATATATGTCTGTTGGATGTTCTTGTGTAAAACTTATTCTTCATAAATTTGGTGAATTAATAAAAACAAATATTGATGCACCCCCTCGCATTGGAGTTGATCTTTGTGGAGATGAAAGGTAAGTCACTTACTTTTGAATATTTCTGGTATATGTTGATGTAAAATAAATTTGAATTTGCTTAGAATTTAACTTATGTAGAAATTTTAATATTTTAGTTACTTTCTTTTGAGGTAAAATTTATACTATGCATTTTTTTTCAGTTCAATAAAGTATCATCTCAAGACGTCTTTTAAAGCCTTACTTATTGCACTGAAATGTTGATAAGTGGATATCATAACTCTAATTAACTGTGAGAAATTAGGAAACACTGATTATTTTAAAATTATTATTTCAGATAAGAAATAAAATATTTTTGAATGATTCCCCTTTTTTGCAATTGTTATTTCAGAAAAGATATTTAAAATTTTTGAACGTGCCACCCATTTTATAGGTTTTTTTTGGGGTGGGGAGCATGTTGTGAGCAGGTCGTTTTGTTGAATGTCTTGTTTTTTGATAGAAGATAGTTCCCGAGCTGTTGAAATCTATCTGCAAAATACCTTCAGTTTCTGTATATATTTGTATCGGCTGTTAAATACATTTTTGTTTATCAAAACGTAAATGATCATAAAATAAATACAAGAACATTGTTACGAGCTTTTGTATAAAGACAGATATACAAGTGTGCAAGCTAGTAATGAGGAATAGTGTACTAAATCTACAAGGTTGTAGTGTGTTCTGTAAGAGCCAATCAGTGGCTGAGCTTTAAAATTGCTGAACACTGGTAGTTCCAACCTGGGTTTGATTCCAGGTGACCAGGCTGATTGCCTTGATGTTTTCGCAGTTTTCCCCATGTGTAATGTATATATGAGCATGTTTCCATTAGAAAGTCCTCCAGGAAGGCATCCCTACTTTTAGGCAGATAGCCCTAGTAAGCTTTGCCATAACCAACTAAACCAAACCAATATTCTGTGAGATATGCTGAGCTGTGATTTTCAGTAATAGACCATGCCAGTGCAGATGTCAGATTTATTCTGAAGTGTTACTGCAGATGGTAGAGTGATTAGTATAAGATGGCGACTTCTCGCGCTGTTGCTATACGTTTGGCTTCAGATCTCATATACGACATGGATGTTTCTGAGTACAGTCGGTGTCTTTTTGGCATCGAGGCATGTGAAATCTGTCACACTGTAAATTCTCTTGAGAAGTTATAATAGAGAAGAGGCATGCAAGACCTTTGGATTGCTATGGTCAAAATAGGGATAAGAGTATAGGTATATATCACATAAGTGTTTTGCCCGAGTTGAGTAATCCAATTATTTTCGTCAGGTAGACATGGAAGTATGTAATAAAGTATTGAGGAATTTTAAATAATCTTCTAGAATGTTTTGTGCAGAATTTAAACTTTGCGTTATTCTTTGCATCCTTCTTTTTGTTGCAATTGTAAAAGTTTTCTTTATCTGTTAATGATCCTTTGTTATTAATTGATTTCTACAAGTTTATTTCTGAAGGCAAAAAAATTTTAATTTCAATGTTGAGTTTTTTAATCATTTTATAGGCTTTCATGTGTTTTTAACTTTATTTATTTCTTTATTTCAGATTGACGAAGTGTAAGAATTGTTATGAACAACTTCTAGCAATTCAGTCTTTTATTTTAAAACGACAAACTATGCAAGGAAAATTAGGCCAATCATTTCGTGAACTTCTGACTATGATGTGCACTGAATTTAATAATAGTATGTGATTTTTGCTTTTATAGAATAAGAATTATTCAGAAGTCTGATTGAAAAAAAAAACTGGATCTTTTTTATTACTGCTTGTGATATTGATGTGGCCTTCTGTCCTCATAAAGACTAGAACATTCATTGCCTTCAATTGAAACATTCCATGTGCCATTTCTATTTTCACTGTGGCAATGACCATTGAAAAAAGAAGACTGAATTTTTACCAATAATGTGCATATGTAAATAGTTAATTCATTTGTGCTTTCGTGTGAGTCCCTTTGGAAAGATAAACTTTGAATAAATAAAACATTTAGAAAGCTTTGGAGCTTGTATTGATATATTTATTTAATAATCAGGGCTTTTTTGCTGATGTTATTTAAACAGTGTAACATTTCTGCATATTAAAACATTCGTAGGATTTATATTGAAAGGTAAATAGAAATTGATATACATAGTTTTGCTTCACTAATAGCACTAATAAAAGTGATATTTTATACCTGTTGTATTTATTATTTGCACATATAATTTTAAATTCTAAAAGCTATTTTTTGAAACTGCTCTCTACTGATTAATTATATTAAATAATTATGAATTAATAACAGCTTATTACGTTTGAATTTTAAAATATATTTTTAAAATTGTGAATTATGTATTGGGACAGTTGTACATGTTGCTTTTGTAATATTATCATTTAGAGGATGCATATTTGATATATAATTCAGGTTTTACTGAATATAAAAGAAAGTTATTAAAAATTTTATAAATTACAATCAGTGTGCTGTTATTGGACTGTTTGTAGCATATAGAATTAGAAATGCTTTGAGCAAATACTTTTGTTAATCAGAATATACTTTATGAAAGTTTTATGTTTTAAAACTGAAATTTAGTTTTCTTACAAATTTCCAGTTGATGAGCTTTTAACTTCATTTCTGACATGAAGGTTTAATAAACTTACTATGTATGGTTATGAATATGAGTTTAAAAAATCTTATTATGTATTAAAAATAAATTTACTGTAATTGTGATTTGTAATTATGTTTTAATTTAATATGTAAAGAAATGGTCTTCATTATGTTTAAGTGATTATTAATCTCAGTACTATTATCCTTTCATGTTTATTTACATTAGTTAAGTATATTTGTATGATAAAATGGAAATTGTTTTAAGGTAATCTAAAAAAAATTCGCTGTGCTTACTGTCAAACTGAAGTCAAATAATAATAATAATCTATGGTAAAGAAAAGCTGTTTTTTGAAAGATAATTTTAAATTTGTTAGTGGTTAAAAATGTATAACAAATTATTCTTTCCTGTGTTTATTGTCTGAGTAGAGTTGCATAGATCAAAGTCAACATCAACCAAATATTAATCCTGTAAAGTCTGTTTTTTGGTATAAAATATTTTTTTTGTTTAAACTTGAAAATTAGCTGTGCTGAATTTGTAATATTTGTCTGTGAATATATGCCAAATTATAATCCTTTAATTAAAAAGCAGTTACACATTGTCATGTGTTTAGAATATAATTTGAGTAATATTTCACTGTATGTGATACCAAAATATTGATTATATGTTGTTAATGTGTAATTGTTTCATTTCATGGTATTCTGCAGTTTTTTTACAGAATCTATCAATATACATTACTGTACCAATAAATAAGATTTATAGTTCTTTTCTTTAAGGAATTCAAAATAAGTTTTAACATTTTCCAAATTATTGTATATATTTATTTCTTTTTGCTTTACCAATCTTTTCCATTGCTTATATCATGAAATAAATGTTTGAACTTTTAGTACAATAAACATCATCTTTTAAAACAAGTAGAAATTCATAAGCAGTGAGTGATCCTAAAACATTTTACAAGTCAGCTTCTAATATCTTTCCTCTCAATATTTTTTCTAGGGAAAGGCTTTGCAGTGTGAACTGTCATAGAATACATTGCATCTAAACAATGTTTTGCATTGAGCATCACTTTTGTCTTGTGATTACATATGTTAAACAAACACATATTAAAAATTGCTTTTATCGGATAATTTTCATTTTCTTGCTTGTTAAAAGTATTTTTTGTGAATTATATTAGACATTCAAAATATATGCATTATTTTAAATTCTTCATCCATATTCAGTGAGAGTTGAAAATGTTACTGGATTTTTTGCTTGATGCAGTTAGTAAATGGAAAATATTTGCATTTTGCCTAAAGTTCTTTACAGTAGGTTGGTAATCATTTTCTTAAGTTATGAAGTAGAAATTTATGTATAACTGAAGCTGATTATTTGATAGTATTCATGGTTCTGATTAAAAAATTAGTCTTTTTAAAACTAATTGTAAAACCATATATTGAGATCACTAGTTATTTTTTCAAATAATTAATCAAGGCGGCCTATGCTTATATATTTTTAGAAATTATGAAGAGGAAGTAGGCACATTTAAATCCAGACTACAATGATTTTTACTTAATAATTAAAGTTTCCAAATCATGATTTTCAGTATTGTGTAATAAAGTAGTAAAGGTTTTATTGTTATTTTAATCTTGTTAAAATGAATTTTTCATATGTATCAGTGCAGTGTAATGAATATATGTGAATTATTACTGATGACAATTTTGATGGGGTTGCAACTCAAACATTTTGTAAAGCATCTACTTAGTTTTAAATAAAATGTAATGAATTTTGCATTTCTTTCATACATGAAAGATTAGCAATTGTAACCAAAAAATCAATCCAGTTTATAGCTATTAAAGAAAAAGTACATAAATTTATGTTAAATTGCAAGTATAAGTAATATAGGATTCCAGAATAATTTAATGTAATTTTATGTTTGCACTATTCTGAGAATTAAATTTGAATATGTAATATATTTGTTCATGCACTGTCTGTAGTTATTGGTGTCAACATATAGTGCCATTTTCTTTTGATCAGCTTTCTTCTGATTGCCATGCAAAATTTTGTGTTACATGAATATTTCCATTTTAAAATAATAGGATGAACATGTGAATTAAAGAATTTTAAAATTCTGTACATGTCCTGTGCAAAAATGAATGGGGTTAAAAATGCATATGCCTCATCTAGTGCTGTGGAGAATGTAATGTGAAATTTTCTGAGTATTTTAATTTATTACTTTTAATGTAACATACTCAAATAATTATGATTTTAACTTCTTTAATCACTTTTTGTCCATTTTTAATGTGTGTGTTTTTAGTTTTTGTAAATATTTTTTTTTTTTTTTTTTCTGTGGTGCTCAATCTGCTGTGATAGCTGTCATTTCTATTCAATGCCATCCATCATATAGTTTTGACATTAAAGTACCTTTGTACTTTGCTAATGGCTCTCAGCATCACTTGAGAATAATAAATTATAGTTGAAGTTTGAATTACTTTAAATAAATATCTTTTACTTACAGTTTTGGGAGTTTTTCTTGTACTTGAAAACATTTACATTATTTGTTGCAATTATAATGTATAGTAGTAATCTCGGAAGTCTGTTAATCATATTCTTATCAGAAGATTAAGAAAAGTTCTTTGAAATTCTTGTCTTAACAGCTGAAAGTTTTTTTCCCCCCTTTAGCAGTAGATATGGGGATTTTACTTCTATCTATTATTATTATTGTATTCTGTATTCCGACAAGCTGTATACACTTTGCAGGTGCTGCAATTTACAGTATATAATATCCTCTTTCCTTTTCTTGCAAAATGTGGTATGTTATTAGGGAAGGTAATTTAAGATGCAAAATTATTGTTATAAAAGGAGGAAGAAATGTTCTGAAAATGCTTTTAAAATGGTATAGATAAAATTTGTATATTCATTTATATTAACATACTTTATTCATTTTTGAATTAGATATTATAAACTTAATGTTAATTATTAGCAGACTATAGTAAATAACATAAGTGACCATCTTTAAGAAATAAATATGGCACTTATTATGTTTTGAATTATTATGTAATGAAAGTCACTGGTGTATTGAGCTCAGGAGATCCTGCTATTTGGAGAAACTCCACTCGTGATTATCAGAAATCAGTCTTGGGATATATCTTGTAGGAATACAGAAACAAAGTTTAATCAAGTTTCCATCTTCTAATTTAATTCAAATTTGGTTATCAGTGTTGTCCCTCATAGTTGTCATCTCCATCCACTGCTTCTTCATCAGGCAAGTCATTCTAGCCATACAATGCAAAAAAGGTCCAACTCTGTGTGTCTCTTTATTATTGAACATTTTGTTGGGGAAAGGGACACACTTGATGGTTGCTGCTACTTCTAGTGAATGTAGTATAGATATGAAGCATTTGCTTTTATCAAAATTTCTGCCCAAGAAAATTGTGCATCTCATCCAAATATCTCACTTTTTCATAATGGGGGATTTTGTTAAGGGCAGCCCAGTCCCTTTTTTGCTGCCAAAAAAACATTAAAATTAGGCACCTTTATTAGAATCTTTTTCATGACAGCAGTTAAATCATTCACCATATTGTATGTGTAACTGATATCCTCAAGAATCTGGCTTTAGTCCATATGTGGTATATATCACATACTTGAGTTTGAAATATTTGACCTTTAGCTGTTGGAAAGCTGCTTGACTGTCAAGTCTGACTTTCTTGTAGTGTATGCCTTCTGGCTGCAGCTTCATGCTAGAACTGTGACATGTTGAAAGCATTACAGGCATTTGTATTAAAGAGCACAGGTTTCACTAAGTGGAAAAGTATATTCAAGAGGTATCTTTGTAGCTGTTCAGTAGTTCAGTTCATTATCTCACTTAATGCCTGCCAATTATGGCTTTTATTTCCTTGAAAATGTTCTTTTAAATTTTCTTTAGTTAAGTTTTTCTGAGAGTGCTGTCATCTGGCATTGTACTTTACATGTATATTTTGAAGAAAGAATTTGTTGCGGGATTGTTTCTCTTGAACCCTAAAATTTCTGACTGGACTGCCTTTGTGATAATCTGCCCTGAATGATTGATTGACATGTTTTTCTTTTCCTGAAATAAATTTGTGTGCTAAAATAGTTTGCTTAATGTTTCCCTTCGCAAGTTTTACTTTATCATTTTAGCATTATAATGATATTTATATGACAGGAAAAGCTGCTATATAAGAAGAAAGTGGAAAGGTACTTACTTATCTTGCTCAAAAAGTACTTTAAATTATGTTTAATTTGTTTTATTTGATAATGTGAATTGTTTTTTGTGAAAACAGCTATATGTTTCTATGTTTTGCACTAAAAGTTTCCCTGCATGTTACCATTGACCATGCTTCAACAGTTCTAGCTAAAACTGCAAAAGGTTTTCATCCAGAGTATTGCATATTAAAAGCTTTAAAATGCTGTTAGTGTTATGCATTTGCATTCATTCACCAAAACAGTATCATGAAATATAGGAGAAAATCGCCATTCCCCCACTTAAAGATCCTTACTAAGAACTTTTAGTCATGGAAACCAAAAATGCATTCCTATTTATGTGTTTGGTAACATTTATTAAGTGTTGCAAAATTGCTGTGTGTTCACTTATGCAGATTAGTGCTACCAGTGTCTAACCCTTTTAACTCAACTGCATATGAGATTGGAGGAGTAGATTTGGCAAGAAGATACTGTATTTCAGAGTTGCCAACTCTCCCGATTTTTGAACGCTCTCCCGCCAACCCAATTTACAATATATTTCTCCCGACTTTTTCTCATTCTTAAAATTTCTCACAATTTTTATGGAACTTGGCTTAATACTTCGTTATATGAACAAAAAAAAAAGTGATTTTGGATGTCTGAAAGTAATTGAATTTTCTCTAGATTATATCTAAAACAAAACCTTGTGAATCAAATGAGAATTTCTGCTTTGTGAGTGAGAGCATACGTATCCAGGAACGTCGTTCTCCAGTTCTCCAATGAGCATCGAGCTCCACTGCGTGTCATCTGGCATATATTAGCCAATGAGCACAAAGCAAGCTCAAGGCTGTTATTTGAATGTTCTTTAGTTATTTCGTTCATCTTGACCTGAGTTGTGTGAGTACACGTGCCTTCGGGAAATAGTTTTAGAAATTATCATCTTTCATTATGTCGGTGAAATACTCATGTACGTTTCAAAAATTGTACACAGTTGAATTTTCTTCCATTATTTCCTCAAGGAAATGTAATAAATTTGCGATGTGTGCCATCTGTCGTTGCAATTTTTCGATTTTGCATGGTGGAAGGACGGATGTTCTCAAACATGTGAGTACGCAAAAAGACAAGGACAACATGAGGTGTTTTGAAAAAAACGAAAAATAAAATTTTTCTTCAGAAACAAAGGACCAAAAAGTTATTAATGCAGAATGTCTGTTCTCTGCCTTTTTACTGGAGCACAACCTTCCACTGAATGCATCGGATCACGCTGCAGCTTTATTTAGAAAAATATTTCCCGATAGTGAAATCGCTAAGAAATAGTCAAGTGCAAGGACCACAACAGGTGCAATTGTTAAAGAAATGGGTTTGAAAAATAAATCTTCAGTTATTGATTGCATTAAAACAGCTCCGTTCTGCCTCTCTATGGATGGAAGCAATAATACCAATTCAAAACTGTATCCAGTTGTTTCTTTTTTTAATCCAGAATCTTCAGAAATTGAGTGCAGTTTACTTTCTGTTCCCAGTTTAGAAGGAGATTCAACAGGCTTTAATGTAGCACAGCTAATTATTAAAACTTTAAAAGAAAATGCAGTCCCTCTGGATAATTGCTTAATAGTTTTAGAAATTATCACTTGGTGCCAATAATGCACCAGTAATGGTAGGCTTGAAGACTGGTGTTGCAGGCATGTTAAGAAAGGAAAATTCATATTTGCAGATTATAAGGTGCGCCTGTCACCTCTTAAATTTAGCAGCTGTAAAAGGGATAGCTTCTGTACAAATAAATGTGGATGAACACACTGTTGATATTTATTATTATCTTGAAAGAAGTTCTAAGAGGAAGGAAAAATTGAAACGGTTCCAACAGCTGCATAATACTGAAATGAGAAAAATTTTGAAACGTGTGTACACGCTGGCTGTCTCTAAAGAAATGCTTATATAGAATCCTCGATCAATGGAACCATTTCTTCTTGCATTTTTTAAAGAAGTAAATGCTTCAAGAGTTAAGATAAAAGGCTCTATTGAAAGTTATAAAATACCTAAAGTAAATGGAGATGTAGTTACTACTTCCATTGTTAAAAATAGTTATGAGAAAAATCATTTCTGCACCATTCAGCAATTCAACTGACAGTTCTCAAAATAATACTGCAAAATATAAGCCTCAAGCTGATACAAATTTCTCTCAAAATAAAAAAATTGCTCAACACATGAAACATTTTCCGATTACTGTAAGTTTATCTTGTGAAGACGAATATTTATGTTTTTTTTCTTTGGACCTTAACAAAGCTTTGTGCCTTTTTTTACAATTCATTTTGCCATCATTCAATGTTCTTAACACAGTTCTACAAAGCAGAATTCCATTAATTTGTGTTTTGCAATCAATGATTTATGATCTGTTTAAAGACATTTTATCAAAGTTTGTAAAACCAGCCTGTGTTTTGTCTTGTAATTCTATATATGATGTGATTTATGGTGAAATAGAAAATCAGAAGAAAGATGAAGATTTGGTAATAGGAGCTGCAACCACAAAAGTAGTGGAAGAACTTTCAGAAGAAGACAAAAATAAGTTTTATGTTGATGTTAGTAGTTACTTCTGTCGAGTATGTGAATTACTACTACATAAATTTCCAGTCACAGTGAAGTGATTTTGCATGCTAAAGTTGCTGATGTTTTGCTCTAGCAATGCATCTTTTTCTGATATAAAGGTACTTTTGCACAGATTTCCTGTGTTACTTCATTTAATCATGAAAGATGATGTTGCGACTGATAAAATATTGCAGTCGCAATTTTGCAGTTTACAATTAGAAAACTTGGATGAAGTTATAAAATCAGCTAGGATTGATCCCCCAGTGGAGTTTAATTGGAAAACTGAAAGGTGCTGATGGAATTTTAAAATATAATAAACTCTCTAGAATTATGTTGGCCATCTTGACAGTTCCCCATAGTAAGGCAGAGTGTGAGAGGATTTTCAGTGTTGTTGCGAAAACGAGGACTAAATTTAGATCTAATATTAGCGATGACAAATTAGAAAAACTTTTATTAGCAAAAGCAGACCTACATGGCAATTGCTATGAACAAAATTATGAAGTTTCTTTTTTAACCAAAGCAAAATCTGCCACTGTTCATAACATTTGTACGAAAACTGATTAAAGTGTCTTTTTTTTTTTTTTTTTCCTTAAAAGATGCAAGTAATAAAAATGTTTTTTATGTGTAGGGTATTTTTGTGTTGCTTGCATTTAAGAATTAGTAACTATTTAAAGTTAATTCATTACTAAAAACTATATGTTTATCATTTAAAAAGTAGTTTTAACATTGTGAAAATTTTTGAGTGTCATAGGCTGGCAAGTATGGTATTTATTAAAAGATAAAAATCCCACCCTTTCTTTCCTTTTCTTTATTTCTTTTCTAAAATTTAGTAGGGTCTTATAATTGGCTATTTTAATTACCTTTACAGAATAATTGTGCTGAATTACTTTAAATACTAAATAAATTGTATAAGTAGTTATAGTATATATAAACTGCATAAACCTTGATTTGAAGCAAGCAACATTTGAGAGTAATACTAATTTGAAACCATTTTTCAAATTAGCTTGCTTGATTTCAGGTGTAGTTTTAATTTCTTCAATGATGACTTAATTTTATAGATTATTTGACGAATCTATGCTATGGGCTGTATTTTGTTGTTGATCAACATTGAATGTAACAGGAATTAATGGTTTAATGCAGGGTTCCCCCTTTTTTTGTGACTCGGTTGTTTTAAAACTTTTTTTTCACAACCCAATAAAAATGTTCTTGCCTTATTGCTACATTAAACAAATTCCAAAATTCAAATGTTTTTATTTTATTGGAAAAGTAACAAAAAAGGAAAAGTTTGATTGGAAAATGTGATGTTATTTCTCAAATAGGATTTTAAGTTTACAGTAAAAGATAACTTTATTCTTAAACCTGGTTCAGCATAATCAGTTTCTGTATTTAATTTTTAGGAAAATGAGAGTCGAGAAGGCTGTTTCACATTTTTAAGTTGTAACAAAAGGCATCTGTTGACAACAGGATAGTCAAAAATCTATCAAGGGTGTTTAGTCGAAGCTGTCTGTAAGCGTTGTATCACAAGACAATTCAATTATAGATTCAGTATCCGAATCCAAAAATATTATATCTAATTCTATATTAATTGTGATAGGATTTCTGATCCGTGCTTTGCTACTGTGAATTAGGGGAAAATATTCTTTCAGATTTGTATGCAATCCTATCATATGTTCCTTGATAGCAACTGAAATTTCATCAGGCATGGAACTAATATTGCATTCTTTTTGCACTTCAGTTTGCTTCATAAAAGCATAATTTCTTGCCTCTACACAAAGAATCCACAAACTATGCCATTTCACTGTGGCTTCCATCTTCCTTTGCACTTAAAATACAGGTACATTGTTGCCTTTTTGCGAAAAATTTAATTTATTTAAGAAATAAAAAATGTTGTAAAAGTAAAGTAACTTCATCAACCAATTAACATAACAAAAACTACCTTTGAATTCAAATATTAAATCTTTAGCCACTGGGAGACAGATTAAAAACATTTAAAATTTCTTTCATATCCAAAAGTCTTTTCAAAACCGTCCTTCTGGATAACCACCATACTTTATAATCTGAAAACGGGTATTAATGTTCATCTCTTTACATAATGCACTGAATAACTTGGAGTTCAGTGGACAATGTTTCATAAATTTTATACACTCTAGCATAGCAGTTTGCAACAGCAGGATTCTTCCTGATATTAGATCATCAGTTTAAACCTAGTAAGATGACATGTAGAAATTATAAATTAAAAGTACGAAATGAATGAAGAATATGTGATTTTAAAGGAATAAAAATTTACAAAAAAAAAAGTCAATATTTATTTATTTGCTTTATTAAACATTTCTTTCACTGTATGTTGCTTTGTTTTTTGAGCTAATACTCTCCCTTTAATTTTATGGATAGACATAATTTCTTGTTCAGTTACAAAGTTCCATTATTCAAGTCCTGTAAATTCCTACTAAATTATCAATTAAAATGTTTTCTTTCTCAACAACTAAATTAATCTCTCTGGCACTTTTCTCACTATCGGTAGCAGTATTTACTATATTTAGAACCATACTATAGATTTCGCCGTCTGTTAGTTGACTCGTATTTAGCATTGTCATCATATTAAAAAACTTTGGTTATTATCAGCTTCTCCAAATTTCTTCACGAGTTCCATTAGCTGGAAAATTTTGCCCTTTTCTTTTAATATATATATATATACTTGGAAAAGCTTTCAGATTTGCTGCTGTGACGATAAAGCTTAGCTAGCGTCCGCTATATGGCTCACCAGTGGCCAAGCGATAAAGTCGCTAAACACTAGTTCGGTTCGAGGCTCGACTCTTGCGAACGAGCTGACTGCATGGCCGTTTTCATGGTTTCCTCTACTATTGGGGATGTATCATGACATTAGCAGTTTAGGGCCGCTAATTTTGACTCATTTCTATCGCACGCTGTTGACGTTAAGCCTGAATGATATTAATTTAGTTATTTATTATACTTACACCTATTTCCCACGCATGCTTAAGACTTATCCGAGTCCCGAATAAATAAATTTCACCATATACTTAGGCTTATCCAGGGCCATCAGTAGATATTTTGCACTCCGGTGCAATCTGTGCATATCCAGAGTTCTGCTGGTAAGCGCCTTCCTAAATTCAAAAAATTTTGCTGCTCCTAAAATGTGCATTCAGTGCCTTCCCTAAGTTCTAAAGATTTTGTCAGCCCTTACTTTTGTTGCTTTGTCCTTCTCTAAACTTAAAAAAAATGTTGTCTTCCCTATATTCTATACCCAGGCGTGTGCACACAGACTTAGTATTTTACTATGGCAGTTGCACTCTGGAAAACAATAATACAAGCTTGGCGATTCCAGAACCCTGAGGGAAGATCGTACCTACAATGCGTTTGGACTAAGGGAAGGGACTGTTATCGGTAGCGGTGCAGTGGCTGGTCTGTTATCCACCGAATTCCGTTTAATTCCTAGGCCGTGTAGTACTGGTAAGCAGCATCATTGACAACCAGTCAGATCTTCAGGCCACACCCTGCCATGAGACTCGAGAACCGCGAGTTTTCCCGCCTAATACGGAGGATTTTAGGATGAGGAATAGTCCGCGTTGTGTACTAAGTTATGAGACGGTAAGCGTAACCAATTAACTTATCTAAATTCTGCAGCCGCACCAACTTTTGACATTGGTCCTGGGCTCAATTGAATAATAGGCCTACCAATAACATTTACAAAATCTATTTTTTGCAAATAGGAAGAAATTTCTGTTAAATTTCTCAAACTTTGCGGCAGAGTTAGCTGATGATCGCTAAGCGTTATGTCAAAATAAAATTTGCCATGCTATTTATTAATATTAAAAGTTTTAAAAAATGTTTAAACATGCCTGCGTGAGTCATTTCTCCACCTGCAGTGTGTTGATAATGATGGGATAATAAAAGTAAACAATGATATAAATAACTATTTGCCAGATTTTACGTCAAAGTTTAATTAAATCAGTACCCTTGACATGTTTTATTATGGAAAAATATTAAATGCTCAAACGTAAAGCATTAAATAATTTCTAAAGAGGAAAAAAGCGTTGGTGGTGATCCGGATTTCGGACTTTGTTCCATACACGCATTCTGGTGCCACGGATTTTATATTTGGAAAAAGTACTGCAATTGTTCCAGTACCACCACTGCTCAGTTCCATGCATTTTTCCCAGTCAGTATCATTTCGATCGATGTAAGTATCAATCAAATTAAAAATCTGTTATGCTGTTGTTCTTGTACTCAGTGGTTTGCAAAATAGAATTTCTTCATTAGATGTAATCTCAAAATTCATATCTCACAAAATGAATTAAATTGGCACTGTCTGATATATCTGTATACTTGACTACTGACTTAAAGAGAAAATTCAAATGCACTGTTTAAGCGAACTGTAACAGATTTTTCGATTCAGAAATCAAACAACAAGTCAATTGTGTCTTTATTATAGATTTTTCGATATTATCTATTTCCACGATTCTACGCTTCATATGCTCTTGCAGAGAAACAACATTTTTATATAGTTTTGCTGATTTTATTACATATACTAGATATCAATATTTTCATCCACAAATATATGAGGATATCTAGTTTCTGAAATTAATTGGGATATATCAACAGAAGTCATAACTAGATTTTTTAAACAAAGCCCCCTGACAAAAATTCAAAACCAATCCAAGAATTCGAAATCAATCCTGAGAGAAATTCGAAACCAATTTACTATCTAGCTACTAATTCTTTCTTGTTATTTGCAAAAAAAAATCTATCAACTTGTTTTTTTTAGTTTGAATGTTTTAATTCCATGTCCCGCTTCAACTTTGAAGCTCCTGTGAACTCATTTCATAAGGCCATATAACAAATAACATATAATGGTTTTTCATTAGCACCTTTCAATAAATAAAATGTTATATAATCCTCGAAATATTGTTGAATCCAAGAAGTTTTCTCCTTTTTTACTTCCTTGCACAAAGTATTGTAATCGCGAAAATTTTTGGGTATCATATTTCAACGAAAATATCCATTTTTACCGCTAAAGAATACAACTTAGCAATGTTTTTGCTTGACATCTGTACGTATGGACAGAATAAAGGACTCTTTCCCAAAACGGGTTACAAAAAGGATTTAAAATGGATTCCAAAACTGATTTGTTTCTTGATATCTGTATATATCTCACATAACTCAAAAACGAATAGCCGCAGATCGTTGAAATTTTGTATATAGTGCTGCTATAACATGTAGTTGTGCACCACTTTTGGTTGCAATCGGCCGCTCTAAAAGTATAGATATATGTAATGATAGCAAGAAAAAGACGGAGCAGCGTCGTTGCTTAATAGCCATATAGGACAGATCGTAAATACATATTGAAGAGGAAGAATTCTGATTACGTAGTATGCTAACATGTTGATTGCATAATATCTAAAAACTTGGCAGTTTTAATTCCATTTTTATTTGCAACTGACATTTGTGGCCACAGTTCGCTTGGCACTCTAGTCGTGCCTATTCAAGATCATTTACATTTTTGATATTATTGCAATAGGAAGTGAAACTAGCGAAATTGCGTACAAGCGCTGCACAGACAGAAGCTAAAGTGCGTAGTTATCCAATATGGAAGCACACGAAGAGAAAAGTTTCAGTTCCTAATTATTACGTCATCAGCGCTGCGCAGGCCATGCAAAATGGAATGATCTAGAAATGATGCAATCCAGAGAAGTTATTACGATTTTTAAAACAGAGGGGGAGAATTAAAGAGTTACCGTTAGTTTAAATTATAATTTTGATTCACATATTTTTTATCTTACACACACACACACACACATATATATGGATATATAAACTTTGGATTATGAATGACTGCACATTTAATACAATGTGGCTAAAAACAATTTCATTGGGAAATGTTTAGTTTTAAAAACTGCCATGGTGATTTTTGTTCTAGTATAACTATCAAATCGTGAAACTTTATTTTGAATACGGAAACCACTTTCTTTTGATGCTTTTGCAACTATACTTTCACCTCAAAATCGAACACCAAACTCATAATGATAAGTTTAACGCAGTGTTTCTCAACCTTTTAGTATTCACGGCCCAATTTTCAATCATAATTTTCATCGCCCCCCCCCACCGCATACAAAAATGTATAAAATAATAATTTTGAGTATTTTGCGCTAAACCTACACTACAACCTTAATTTAAACTTTACAAATTACCAAGAATAAATTCATTGACATTTTGCAACACCGATCTCAGCATTGAAAAACAAGAATCCTATGCCTTTTATTGCTCTTGCGTCCCGCCATGTCGGCATTCTCACGGTTTCGCGAGAAGTTTCGATTTGTTCGGGACAAATGTTTCAATACAACTCGATGAGCAACTATAGTATAAAGATGCATTTATTGCCTATGTTAGATTTGTGATCATTTGTCGTAGTAGAATTACTTTTCTGCAAACCATAAACTCAGCAACAGACTCGCATTATTTGCTATCTTAATGTTTTATGAACGAGCAAAAATGGAATGGTCAACTTGCGTGGCTCGTATGTCCGGGATCCGTATTCAACACTTGTGAAACAAAAATCGCCACAATGCGTCTGGACACATTGCATGATCCACAGAGAAGCTTTCGCTTCCAAAGAAATGAGTCCTCGTTTGAATATTGTGTTAACTACGGATAATTTCGAAATAATACTGCGATGTTTCTTGATACTCTGTTTTAAACTTTGTATTGTCTTTTTTTCGGGGGAGAGAGGATACAGTATACGATTCCTTTATGGTACAGCCGTTTATATGTTCCTACCGAAAATATATGAAGAGCTCAAGCAATAGATCACATTCCCTAGTAGTGTAAATTGTTCCTAATCTTCACAAATACTTTCAATTTCTAACTGAAAATTCAATCATGTGAGAAACAAGAACAATTCCAAATTCTAGGCAAAAATGCTGAAGAAAAGGTAAAAACCATTGCTTAAATAGAAACGCGTACTGAGTTCTGAAAATTAAAACTGGTATAAGCGAAAACCTTCAACTAAAACTAGATCCTTTTCTCTGATTCTTTTCTTGTGAGATGACATAAGAAGCCTATGTTAAAAAACTTGTCTTTGAGACCAGAAAGCAATTACTATGCTAGTCAGTCTCTTGAACTCGACCGTTAGAGGCTACAATATGAGCTCTTTGAGATGAGAGTGGGAGAGAGAGGAAGTGTAAAAGGAGGAAAAATATGATTAAAAGCATTTTCTTTTCTTTTTACTGTCCGTTTTTTTTTTTTTAAACAGGATTTTTACCGTAGAAGCAAAGAAATAGAATTATAATAACCTTGACTTTAGTCAGAACTTTCACTTCGTTGAGTCATAAGGAAAGGAAATTTTGAAGCAGAGAGGTATTTTAGAAAACTTGAGTATGCCTAAAAATTTCTTCTTTCAAAAAGCATGTATTACTTTTGTGTGCCTCTTTGAATTTTCATCTCTAGCAAGTAGACCGCCACTACAAACAGGTATGTATAAATGCTGCCGTAATGAAATCCTCTGTAATAAATAAACAAGGTAAGAAAAGTGGTTAGTTTAAGAAGCAGATATTAATGCTTATGCGTAGGAACAGTTTTCAAGATTATTTGGTATTCTTATGTTGTTAAACCGTGCCATACGTAAAGGATGACTAAAAAATGCGTAACCAAAATGTAAAGGCCGTTGAAAGGGATCGAAATAAGCATATATTACAATATAAGGAATATGTATCAGGAAACAAACGCATTGGGGTGGTATAGGGCGCTGTTAAGCGGTCGGTAAAAGCTTTCAGGTGGCATAAATCATCATTCCCCATTCGAATTTCGAGCGATACGCGATGGCTCTGCCTAAGATGAAACATGTTATCATGTTTTATGGGGAAATGGCTCGTATGGAGAAAAACCACAAAAATTTCTTAGTGGACTTCAGTACATTTTCAGCAGTTCCACGCAGTTTCCATCTTTTTAGTAAATCAAAGTTAGTTAAATGTTATACATGAAGAATTTTTTGATGTTTTGAATACTTTTACCATCTTTAAAAAGATTAATTATTAAATTTCGAACAGAGTCGGTCATTAATTTGTACCGTCTTGCCATGTTAACTTCAGATGCGGAACTATTAATATATTTTATTAAACTGAAAATACCAAATGCAGATTACAATTTTTGCGATATATTTTCATTAAAAAAATTGCAACAAGAAACATTGTCTACTGAAACATCTCAGTAAAACTTAGGTGTATACGGATTATTATGTGATTAACACTTTTTGAACAAATTACTTTATCACTAGGAGTATTTTGATCATATTTACTTCATAATAAGGAGGTATTAAAACAGAGAAAAAGTAATAGTGCCACTTTTAAAAGCCTGTAAGAAATGAACCACCGGCCAGAATGACCTGAATGTCCATTAAGCAATGGGAATTTGTTAGGCTAAAGAAGAAAAAAATATATAGTTCATAATTTTATCAATAGATGGCACTCCACTAGTCCTAATATGCTAATTAAAAGACGTGACATGCGCACCATATGTTAAGATTTAATAAAAAAATGGAGTACATGCAGTTCCCGTTATTCTGTGTCTTTAGAAGCTCGTCATCCCTGTGCTAGTGCAGGATCAGTAAAAAAGCTTGACAAGCGTTTTCACAAGAAAGGTGGCTGAGCTTCATCTGCCCTATAGAAGTTTAAACTATATTTTCTTCCAATGAATCAGAGATGTTTTCCGAGTATTAAAATTAGGTCTTTAGCATGAATCAAATAATATCCAGAAATGTTATGAGCAGTTAATAAATGAATTTTTGAGTTAAAAGGTATTAGGAACGGTTCATAAATTAACTTTTGAATTTTTCGAGTTAAAATTCTGTGAAAGTATTTATTTATACGTTTCTTATTGTATTAGTGCTTAATTACACTGCCGGTTGTTAAAATTGCAGCACCATGAAAGGAAAGCAAAAAAGGGAGGAGCAAAAAAGGATGCAAAAAAAGATATTTATTGTACATAAACAGTATGGCATGAAGACAAAATGATTAAATTTGTAAGCAATTTAGAGGTTTACAGGGGTGCGAAATTAGTAGAAATAGCTGCCAGAAAGTTAAAACGGTCCATTAAGCAGTTCGACTCCATGCCTAAACCCCGTATATATTGAGGAAGGTCAGAACACGACGTGCAACATGTGGTCTTGCATTATCTTGTTGGAAGATGGCATTTGGCAGGTTTCGAAGATAGGGTACAACCATCGGGTGTAAGATGTCGGAAATGCACCGATCTGCGTTCAAATTATAGTCGATCCGACCTGGAGATGTGCATGTCGCTGCCCAAACCATCACACCCGGTGCAGGGCCCCTTTGCAGATATCAAATGGAAGCAGGCGATGTACGGTCTCCTCGGAGCCTCCAAACACGTATACGACTATCAGAATACTATACGCAGAACCGGGACTCGTCTGAAAAGACGACATTGTGCCATATCTGTATCCAGCTTTGTAGTTCGGTGCACCAAAGTCTTCGTCTCCTTCTATGCTGCATTGTCAAGGAAAGCCGAAGTAATGGTCGTGTTGCTGAAGTCGACTTGCTGATAGTCTATGCTGCTGTAAACGTCGTGCTGGGCGTGCTGCAAACATGCCCATTTCCTGTGGGATGGTTCGTGATGTGGTTGTACGGTTTTGAAGGACTGATCTCACAATATTTCTGCCATCTCGGGCGTTATTCATGGGAGGGCGTTGCGATCTTGCATGCCGATCAGTATGACCCTCTGCAATCCATTGATTCCATATTCGCATGACAGTGATTAGATGACGGCCGGTGCGACGGGCGATATCACGAAAAAATTATCCACACTCTCGATAGGCAACGATACTGCCTCTATCGAATTCCGACATTTGCTGGTAAGTGTTTCTTCTTGTACAATGCATAACACGATATTCTGAGCAAACTCGGACTTTACAAAGCACTTTCCGAATGAGAAATCCACTATACAACTTTTCTTTTATGCAGTGTTTCAGATGTCATTTCTTCCTCCTACGTCGTCTAAATGTTCTGAAATACTAATCAATTGGCATATTCCAAACTCTTCTTCCTTTCATGTAATTTTGATGTTAGTCAGATTATTCCTTCCTGGTGTTACAATTTTAATGGCCAGCACTCTAGTTAAATTCTATTGTTGATTTGAAGGGTATTTTTTCGTGTTGTTTAATGTTATCATTTGGTTAATATTATCAAAATAGCAGTGGACAGAATTGATAGCTTTAAGTGGCGCCCACCGTATTATAGTTAAAAAAAACTCTTTCACGCCCTTGCGATAACTCCGCGGGTCACAATTAACAACTTTTTAATTTAGATGGTTACACACGAAGCTGAATAATTGAGCAGCTAGAAAAGAGGCTTAGTCTGAGGAATGTGCCTTACAAGTTTAATACTTTTAACGTCATAATGCGGGCCTGAAGGGCTTTTATAACGACAACTTGCAATCAGGATTTCGAAGGAATAATGGTAGCTGCTTATGAACAACAGTACCTAATATTGATTGCTGTACAGTTTTACACGTTACCAGAGGCTGCTACCAAGCAGTTTGCCTGCCCTAACAACTTCATTCAAATGATGTGCATACAACACAGAAGGTGCATCGTCATTCAAAATGACTATGGGGAAAATTAATTATAATCTTACTGAACTTATTGATTAATTATAATCTTACTGAAGATCACTTTCTATCTCTATTTAATCTCTGGCAATGATTCATCCGTACCACTGCACCAAAGTGGATCATAACGCTAGTGTGATTGTTTATTATGTTGCTTTTGTCTTCACTTTGGTATCAGCTGAGGTACATGATGTAACCTTTTCCCATATCTAATCCATTCTTATTTGAAACTGTAAATGAAAACTTTATAAGTTTTGCAAACTAATATATAATCCACTTTATTACTTTTTCTTATATAAGCCGCTTTATTTCTCTCTGATGTGTTTTTATGACTTAATGTATACTGTGCTCACAAAAGTCCTCGCTCCGCTTTTATTTTCGCAACCGTTGGAGTAAGTATATACATCCAATTACAAAAATGTTTTATACGCCTTAAATATTTACATTTTGGTATTTTTACATTTAAAAAAAAAATCAGTTTTGTAAAAATTGCGAAATCAAGCTATTTATATGTTCCTTCATTTTCTATATAACTAGATATCATAAAAATGTTCGCACAAGTTGTAAAAAGTAAAATACAACCGATTCTCGTACGACAAATATTGACGGAGATATTTTTACAAAATCGGGGATCATAAATATCAGTATAAAATTATCAATATAAAAATAACAGAATAAAATAGATTCCTGATATTAAGAGATTACGTGACGAGCATTTCTATGCAGATTATCATGAAAAATATTGATCATTATAAATTTTTTCAAAAAAGAAAGTCTTATTCAGTATCTTATAGAATACGTGCTCTAGAAAAGCGGGAGTTTTCATGATTTTCCTTGTGTTATATCGTGTGTACGAGTCAGTTTTCTATAGAAATTCATCCAGGAACGCATCCCTTCCCTTAGTTCTCGTGGGCTTTGCCGTAATCAAATAAACCAAACGAAACGTGCTCTAGAAAACATTGGCAAGCTTCAGTATTAGCGCGCAACCAAATCGTGATATTTATTATTTGCACAATTGAAAATGGGAAATATTTGCACTTAGTGATTCTAAAGTAACAAAACTTCTTGAGAATGTTAATAACGTATTTTCAAAATTTTTTGCGTGAAAATGAAAATTCTTTTTGTGTATCAAATGTAACAAAATTATGAATTAAAGACACTAGTAAATCACTAAAGAATACCATTAAATGGCATAAATGGCGGAAAAAATCAACCTTGGATTATTTAAATTTATTTATTAACCAACTTCTGAATGCTTCTGAATGAAGTAAAAATTATGTTAAAAATCCCAAATTTTTTAAATTAAGTAGCACATCTATTTTTTTGTACGGAACACACATTTTTTGCATTTTATATTTTATAACAAGTACAGACTTTTCCGACATATAGGGAGCAGAGGAAAGTGTAAAATGTTGAATTTCATATTTTTTATTACTTGAAATTAAAAAATGCCAAAACATGAATATTTGCGTCATTTAAAATATTTTTGAGATTGGAAGTAGTATATGTCTCTTACTAAGGATCGTTAACATAAAAGCCGAATAAGAGCTTGTGTAATCAGGATGTGTATCTGTATTACAGATGTAGGAGATGGTGGTTGCAATCTATAATTATTGATATTAAACATATGTTTCCTATCGCAAAGTTTTTAACAAAGGCTCAATAGCATTGGTCGAGATAATTTTGAAAAAAAAAAAAAAAATGTAACGTTTATATAGCATAGTAGTTTTATTGCTTTGCAATAGCAAATAATAAAATATTTTCTAACCTTTGATTAAATAAAAACAACGAAGGTTTTACTATAATTACGTCTTTATGAGAAAATTCGCGGAAATAACTGACAAAATAATTTGTTACTTTTAAGTCATTTTCTCATGTCTCTCACCGACTTAAATTCAAGATTTTTTGAACAAATTTTTGTAGCAGTTGCAAATAAAAGTTACTACTTCATCAATTAAAAGTTCCATTTTGGAAAATATCTATTAAGAATAAATGTGCAATTTTTCAAATTACCGGATGTTCCGTTTTCGTTTTAATAAAATAAGTAAACATTTTTGTTGGTTACACTTTGTAATTCAAATACATAGGCAATGTATTTAAGTTAAGCAATATAATATTAAATACTTAGACTGATAGTCCTTTTGAATAGTTTTAAAATTATTCATTTATCATTAAATAACGTGCTTTAAACTAAACTAATTATGAAAACCTTTTAAATTTCAGAGAAAATTAAAATGTGACGCAAACCTTAAGGATAAATAATAACAACCTAGCTTCTTTCTGTTATTTATTAAGTTTTTCTTCGATATATAAATAAAAGAACGCATATTTGGGCTCAAATAATTATAAACTTCTTTATTTCTTACTATTATAATCTTACTATAATTATCTGAATCTTCATGTCATTTTGATTCTGATAAAGTTTGTAGCCTTGAAGAGAAATTACTGTTAGAAATTATTTGCATCACGGATTATAGATACTTATTAGTCAATAAGGCTAATTTCTTATCAGTTTTAAACTGCGAAAAAAAATCGCTCACTTATAAATATATTCTCAAACAAAGCGATTATTCTTAGTGCAAAAATTCGTAACTAAGGTTAGTTATTTTTTGACAAAGTGAATAAAAATTAATAAAATCCGTATCTTCAAATCTACTATAAATTAATTAGCTCCATTTATAGATTTTTTCGTATATTATTCGTGTTCGTTTTTAATGGAAATGAAATCATTTAAATTCAAACTTCAAGTAACCTAAATCTTGAAATCTTTAGGGCACCTTATTTGCAAAAAAATACAAATTTAAATGCCTTCGCGGTTCGCAAAAAATTGCTTCGGGAGACCGCATGCAGCTCACACGCCGCCAGTTTGAGACCACTGACTTACAGCATCTGTTACGGACACTCTGTTTCTTTACTTACCTTTCTACATACTTACGGTGCACTTGCTCTAGCCCTCCTGTCGGTATAGTGGTTAGTGACTCTGACTGCCGCACCGTTAGGCTCGGGTTCGAATCACGGAGACGGTATGAATATTTGTACGCGTATAATGTCCGTATGGCATGCGGGTATTCAAAACTCACGGCGAGCCAAAAGGTAAATAGTAGGCGAAAATGGGTGTAAGAGGTTCGGACCTCTACTATGGGTATTCTCCCTCAAAACTGAGGCGGAAGCTTAACAGTTAACTATGTTCAGCAATGTCTCAATCACCTTTGGTACTATACAAGTACTGGCCTAGCTTCTACCCGTGACTTTGCACTGCTATAGTTTATTTTTCAGTGTCTGAAAATGCTCCTAAATTCGACTTCACTCCGATTAGATGAATAAGCATTATGCGACGGTCGAAAAAACAAAACAAGATCATGGTTATTCAAGCCTACTGGTTATTACGTTACATTTTTTCTCTGCTGTTTTAAAAATGGTAATCTTCAAAAATTTCCTGAAGCTTTTGTATTATTTTAAAACAAATTATGTAAATTTTTTTTCAGAATTTCCAGAGAAATGTTATGAAGAATATGGCTGCTTTGAGACAGGTCCACCTTTCCATGACAACTTTCATCGTCCTATAAGTCTTCTGCCTTTTAATAAGGAGTTCCTCACTACCAAGTTCCTTTTGTTTACACCACTGAACCCTGCTGTGCCCCAAATGATCGATTCAACCCTGATGTCTGTGACTAATTCGTTTTTTAATCCTTATATACAAACGAAGATTATTATTCATGGATTCAATGTTTCTCCTACAGAAAACAATGCATCTTATGTAAGTAATGCTATACTGTTGCTTCTACATCGGGATAGAGATTTTTAAATTAATGAATAAGATCTTAATCACGTAAAAATCAAAAAGAAATTGCGTATTTCTACGCTAATAAATGTTTTTCGATTCTTACTTTTAAATCTTTCGTTATTTAATGAATTTATGAACTATTATTATTATGAACTTAATAATAATTTTAGGTATTTACATATCATCCTGTCTACCGTGAAAATTGGTTACTATCAAAACCTGAAAGCTTAGGGAAATCTCCCGAAAGCTGCACCAATTGTTCCTGCGGAAATCTGAGCCGCATTTCTTCTGGAACTCTTGCAATAAAGCATTCGTCATTCTCTCTGCATAATTCCCCAAATAGTCATTGCTGAGGAAGTATTCAATCCGCTTCACGTTTGCTCTTCGTAAAGAAAAAAGAAAAAAGTAAAGAGCTTTGCAAAGAGCTTTGCACGTAAAGAGCTTTGCACCGATTTCTGTTATTTTCTAAGGTCCTTTGATTCTATGAAAAACTCTGTTTAGAACAGCAGGAATACAAACTTCCTTCAAGTGATTGTTTTAACCTATCGCTGTTTCATCGGCCATATCCGGCTTTTTTTTAATTAAAAATATCTTAATTCTCTCAAACACTTATAAATGCATCGGAGTGCAGTAACAAATGTGATTATTCAGAGCTCGAACACCCTTTTTCAAAATGTAGCGAAAACATACAACAATAATAGTTAATTTATATTCTTTAAAAAAAAAACAAATGTTGGCTTATCGAGAATCAATATTAGTTACATTGTAGAAACATTAGGTTATTTCGGAAGCAGGCGATATGAAAAATGAGCAACGCCTTCGCCGAGAATCGAACCACAGACCTCTGGATACGCGCCCAATGTGCAGACCACCATACCACGAAGGCATGCTAAGAAGGAGGGAGAAATACCTTATATACTCCCACTTTTAAAGGGTGACTGAGATTTTCAGGGGACCCAATCGCCAAATCCTGGGTGTGGAGAATCATCATCCACCACCGTTTTAGTTTAGGAGCCACTGTAGAGACATCAAGTATTCTTTTTTTGGAAGCTGAAGGCTTGAAAAATGAGCCACTTCTTCATCGGGAATCGAACCACGGACCTCTGGAACACGCGCCCAGTGTGCAGACCACTACATCACGAAAGCAAGCTAAGAAGGCGGGAGAAATACCTTATAATACCAAACGAAAGCATAGATGTTATAAGTGTGTTATGATGTCACGCTTATCTATAACTGGCGATAAACGCGCTGTCTTGGTGAGAGTTTCACAGTTGGCGGAATGATGATGCGTAAATACCTAATATTATTATTCATGTTAATTATGAGTTATTAAGTTTTAAATAATACGGCTGTGTAGTAAAAAAATCCAATGAAATTGGCAATTGTGATTCTGTTAGCATTTAAAACTAAACTTTTAACATACTAAACCTTTTACATACTTTTTACATTTACTAAACTTTTTACTATATACATATAATTATGCAAGACATAAAATATGTAACTCAAAATTACTAATTTTATTTTAGCAACAGTACTTTTAATTCCTCATTGTAATTTGGTTATGTCCCCTTCCTGGAATCGTAAGTGCGTCACTTGAAAATTAATCTGCATTAGCGATTAGTTGTTGTCCAGTCATCGTTTAAAACGGAAACAAAGGATTTCAGTTCTATAAACACGCTTTGCTAAAGTGCGCAGTTTCTTTTTCTGTCTTTCTCTAGCTCCTCAGATTTGTAATCACGCACATTTGTAATTTAAAAATTGCACTAAAAAAAAAAAAAAAAAAAAAAAAAAAAATTGGGACAGTTCTATATTTTTCATTCTACCGAGCCGATTGACGAAATTCAAATTGCGTTTTCCATACCTCGAAAGCGCGAGGGTTGCATAGAATTGTACGAGCTTAGGCGTAACTGTATAAGTACAGGAAGCTATAATCTTACACAAAAGGAAGGAAAAGTATGCTGCATGTATGTGAATGGACTTTTACAGCCTGGAAAAGTGTCAAACCTGAAGCAATCATTAAAGGATTTTTGCATTTGGATTATACATTTTGAGGATTTGCAAGTCTAAGGATCGCATGCTGTGGGATACCAACATCAGGTTTAATGGTAATGATAACGTTGGCAACTACTCTAGTAGTACCTACAACAAATAAGAGGTGCTAAACGCAAAATTTTGTTCCTTTTGACCAACAGTAAAAATTTTGTCTCAGTTTATGCAAGTGCTCTTTTCATACCTCCAAAACGAAATAAATATTTAGATGGTAGAGAAGATACCCATGACTTATCCTCAAGAGTTTTTTTTTTTTTTTTTTTAAATTAGAGCTAAAAATTAAGGGTGCGATTTATCCACTTGAGGATACGGTATTGACTGATATATGCAACATATATATATATATATTGATTAATAATATAATGGCGAAATTAAGCTAGAAATTTCTTAGCTACATGCTACTAATTTAACCAAGAACTATATACAGTGAAAACTTGCTTCACGAACTTAATTCTTTCCTGAAGATAGTTTATCATGCGAAATATTCTTAAACCGGAACAACGTTTCCCATAGAAACTAATGTAAAAAGAATTAATCCATTCCTGAATCCCAAAAATGATTGTTTAGAAAAGGTTACGTTGCATATAAGTTCATCTTGCAGAAGAAAAAGAATTCATTACATCTAACACATAACAAAAGATTTAATACAATACTAATTACATAAAAATAGAAATACTTGAGAAATAGAAAACATTAAATTTTCCCATATCTCTACGAAGGAAAGTTGATGGCATAAGTAGAAAATGGTGCAGAAGCCAAAGATGCAAAATGTTACTATTTGAGAAGGATAATCTTTTCCATAAAAATATCAGGTAGCTGGTATCTTTCTGGATTTTTTTGCTATTCTCTTTCTTTAAAGATCGCTCATCTCTATTTAAAAAACACTAAGCCTTTGTTCCATTAAAAATTTGCCCACTGTGATTTCTTTCTGTCTATATTTTAAAATGCTCCTGAAGCAAGACATGGTACTGTCACTGCAAATATTCATGCTACTGGGCTTATTATTGCTATATCAGGCTGATAATCTTCCATGAACTTTTGCATCTTATCCTATTTTGACACAAATTTCTCGCATCAAATAATTAAGAATATTTTTCCTTCCCCCCTTCTTTTGAACACATTTCCTTCTTTATATTAACTACATTTTCGAGTATCTTTAGCTACCTACTTATTCGTATCTCGAGGCATCATTCGTCATCCAAGACATTTTTCGTTTAGAAATTTATTCGTGATGTATGCCATTCGTTACTCAAAATTTCATTGTATATTGTATTTCAATGTACTTCAGTTAGAATTATATTTTGAAAACATTTTCATTTAAACATTCTCTGAAGTAGAATTACATAATTTTTATTTCTATGTTAAAATTTCTTAATAAGCAGTATTGCTTACAATAACCGAAATAATTACAAGGAGAAATATAATTAACACGTTCATTTGCTGTTAACAAAATTAGGAATTTTAATTAATATTTAAGTAATACGATTCATATTTGAAAACTAGGTTTTAAAAGACTTGCTTCTCAAAAGTGGAAATCAAAACGTTATCATTGTCGATTGGTCAGACAGTAACGGAGCTCCATATCCACAAGCAGTTGCTAATGCGAGAGTAGTTGCAGCTCAGCTTGCACAACTGATAAATGCTTTACAAGTAAGTGCATTGTATACTTTAAATGTTTCCATCTTCTTTGAATGTTACAATATAGCAGATATAATATTCCATCTTTCTTGAATGTTGCAATATAACAGAAATAATTCGTAAAAGACATTTTCATGGCATGATGGTGGATCGATAGGAACTTCTTTTTTTCCTATTCAGTTTTGTAACTACATTATTATTTCTATGTTTACAATCCTCCCCAAAATATAATTTTTTTTCACAATGACATGTCCACATGGAAGAAAAGTTTAAAAATCATTTATGAGCTCAAATTAACAAATACGGTAATTTTATGATAAAAATAATAATTTATACAATTAATATAAATTTTAAATCTGGAAGATACACATCAGTGGAATTCTAAAATAAATTTAATGGTTATAAGACTTCTGACATCTCTAGTCTTATTTTATGGTTTACTGTAACAGCTGCATAATAGCTTGATCACTAACAAATGGTAAAATTCAAACTTATTTGATGTTAATTTTCAATAAAATGTCTCAATGTATTTTGACAAGAAGACGAGCAGTTTTCCCATTTTAAGCGGAAACGTTTTTCCACGGTTAGAGCCATCTATTCGGCAAAGCGAAAGAAAAATTATAAAGAGACAAGAAGCCCTTGTTTTGCCCACAATAATAGTTAAAAAGGTAAGGATATAAATCACCATCCGAAAGAAAAAAAAATACAGCTCCATTGAAGAACGTTTTGGATAATCCCTGCTGGAGAGAATTTGAAAGAATGATATAGAGCAGTTCTTCTCAAAAGTTTTGCTTCGCGCAGCCCTTTTCAGAGTCTTTACCTCTGGCGGAGCTCCTTTCATATCTTACAAGTTAATGTAAGTTAATTACAAGTTAATGTGTTACAGAAGTAGGAAAAGGTTATAGAGATTAAAGAAAAGTAAAGTAAAGAGGTATCTAAACAAATGTGCAAAGTGCACGAAATCATTTTAAATTTACAATAATAACTTCATTTATTCAACAACATAATATTGTTATTGTCAAAAATTAGTCATACATATTGGCTCTTCCAAAGTTCAACGAAATATACCAAGTTATGTTATGGCAGGTATTACATTGTTTTTGAGAACATCACTAAGGTCTTTGCAATAAATTTGAATCCTTCGAATTATTATATGGTATTCAATTCAAATACATATTGTTCCATTGCATGTTATTTGAAATTTTTATTATACTTTTAGAATACAACGTAATAACGTTTAATGAGACACAACTGTCTCATTAACGACACCTTCTGGTGGCACAACTGTTGATAATGGCAGGCGAGATTTTGATTTCACCTTGTATGCAGTCAAAACTACCGTAGACTTAGCATTGTGTTTCCCAATTTTTAGTTTAGTACTTTGAGATGTCAAACCTATGAAGACTTCTTATTCCGTTAAGCTGGGTAGGGTTTTTTTACTCAAACTGAACATATTCATCATCCATTCAAAATGATTCAAACGCACTTTTTCTTGAGCTGTTGGAAAATTAAATTCAAACGAGTCTTTCAAAGCTTAGGAAATGCAAATGAACATTTCTGTATTTTTCTCGAATTTTGATGTTATTGTCTTACAAGAAGGATTTTATGAGAAACATACAATCTAATTAAATACATATTCCTTGTTAAAAAGAAAAAAAATTAGGGTGTGCATTAAAAACTAACATTTCATATTTTTCTGTGACAATGATAAACTGCTTTCATTTTGTTCATTCTGCTAAATATTTCAATTAATACGACATTTTACAAACCCAGTCTTCCTCAGTTTAACCTTCGCTAATATGGTGTTATTTTTCATTAAAAAATACTTTACTTTTCTGCTACTTGTGCATGCATTTTCATCAAATATGTCGACGCTTTTCCTCGAGACAATCGCTTTACTTCAGTGGGCAGCAGAAGAGACTCAACGTTAGCTTCCCATATGCTTCCCACATTGGTATATAGATGTGCGTTTACGACGTCGTGATCTTATACAGTTATTATTTATATTATAACCTATATCAATGAATACTTACTATGTACAGCACTTCCCAAAGAAATTAAAAGTACAGAAAACTCGTAGAAGATTCGTATAGGTATCACATTATTATTGCTATAAACATTTACTTGAATTGACTAAGAAACTATATTTATATGGGGTTGTTTGAAGAAACTTTCAGCGAATTCTAGGAATTTTTGAAGGATGGAAAATGAGCGAGAAGCTACTCGAAACTGCAACTCCAAGCAAAATCTAAGCATCGTCTGCTAGAGAAGATACAAAACTCAGCTTGGCAAATTTTCGTGTCCAAAAAGTAATTTCTAAATTTCCGCCTCTTATTTTTACTTCCTTGTACGAAGTAAAGGAAGTATTGTAATCACGAAAAATTTCGGGTACCTTATTTCAACGAAAATAACCATTTTTGACCGCTATCGAATGCAATTTAACGATGTTTGGCATGACATCCGTATGTAAAGACAGAATAAAGGACTCTCATTCCAAAAACGAATTATGAAACTGATTTAAAATCGATTCAGAAGAGATTTTTTCATTACGCTTGTATGTATCTGGCATAACTCATAAACGAATAGCCTCAGAAAGTTGAAATTTTGTATGTAGGACTACTATAACATGTAATTGTGCACCTCCCTTTTGGTTGCAATCGGCCGCACTAAAAGTATAAATATATATATATATATATACCCACTCGGTTACTCGGTTCAGTTAACTCAGTAGTTTTTATTTTTTTATTCTTATATGTTGGTAAATTGTGCCTTTCTTGCTTTAAAAATGATTGAATTATGTTGTTCTTATTTTATGGTCAAGGTTTTTATGCCTTTAAGTTAATCAGCATGCAATATTTGTAGCATTATCAATAATTTAAAAGTTATTTAAGTGCTGCTAATCCTAATCATTTTTACCATAGGAGTCATGTTTGTTTACATCTGAAACTTAGCAAAATGGTGAATTAATTCTTTCTGCACCTTTAGTAACTTTTTGCCAGGTGGGATCAAAAGGATACTTTTAATTTTGTACACCGAAAATCTGCCTTCGTGCCGAATTGCTTGTTTTTGCGTAGAAACTGCAATTTTAATCGTAAAATATGTTTTTTAATTGTTTCAACTGTATTTTTGGCATTTTATATTTTTCTATATTTTTAAATTTTTAATGAAAATATTTTGAGTTTTTATGTATTTTTGCCTTGCCGTGAAGTGAGAACTGAATTAATTTAATGAGAGGTATGTCTCTCATGAAATTCGGGGAAATAAGTTTAAATAAAATGCAGGAAATAAGGCGTATAATTTAATATTCCGTACAAGAAAGTCATGTGGTGTACACATCAGCTTATATTATTTCCTTTTTCTTTAATTTCAACCAGGAGAGAGCCCCTGGCATGGCCGCTGAGCCTTTAAGTCTCCTGCAGAATACAGTTTGGAAAGGAGACTAACAGTGATCTGCAATAAAAACTACGCATTTATCATTTAATTAATAGTAATTAAAGTTCGATTTAATAATCATTTTGATTTCATCACCAATCATATAAATAGGGAATATCTGAGGAGTTTTAAGCATAGTTAATCTTACATTTAGTAAAAGATATCAAAAATCATTTTCCTGTTCCTAATTTTCTATCAGGATATCACTGGAAATCCTCCAAGAAATGTTCATCTCATTGGACACAGTCTTGGAGCTCATTTGGCTGGATGGACAGGGAAAAGAATTCAAGGCTTGGGAAGAATAACAGGTAAACCGATATTTATCTCCCCCCTTAGTGTTATGAACACCATTTGAATTCTGTCGGAAATTATTCTTAAAATTTAAAGGAAAGTATAAGAATTCGTTAATAGCTAAGATGAAACATATCGGTAACACTTGAGCGGGAACGAACTGTTCTGGACACATTTATTTGAATTTATTGACGCGTTTGGATAAATTATGTATGTATCAGGAAGGTAGACTTGATGAATGAACTACCATACATTATATCATTTTACATTATTATTCCAGGAATTATGAGATTCTCTCGGGAAGATTTGTTCATGGCATTGGATACGTGGTCTTCAGACTAATCTCTGCTTTTAAGATAAAAACGAAATTCATCCTTCAATATGATGTTGCTATATTTTAGCTTCCACTCATACCTAGATGGTGAGTGGATGCTATGATATCTTTTGTGAGTGGTGGTTTGATCAAAAATGAACTCCTTTTGCTGGTCAACTGACTTGTAGCTCTGCATCGTACAAGCGTCTACTGCTATATCTCCTGAGAGTAGTATGCAATACTAAGTATGTATAAGTACATACTTATATACGTATACAAGTATATGTATAAGTGCATAAGTACTACGACGTATGTTTAAATACATACTAAGTGTGTGCGAGTACTTGGTATATAATGCTTCATCATAAGAGAGTAAGTCATTCTTTGAATTCAAGAGATTTGTCCGAGCAGAAACTTACTTCTGGCTGCCAAAGCTTTCATCCGAGATCATCGTTGTTCCAGCAACCATTGAGATACGCAACGTAAACCGTTAACGATAGATAGCAACAGTTGGGAATTCGATCAAGCTTTTACACCTTTTAAACCCTGTAGCATATAGCCTTGATAGAAGTTAAATGCTTAAAATCTTGATCAGTTATAATTTGCATCATCCGTACATTGTCGTAGATCATCGTGATCATTTTGTCAAACATCTATTCCCCCCTATTCCTATATCAAGGCTATAACGCTGCAGCATTTTATTCTTGATGTTGCGATTTAAAATACTGAACAAATTTCATACAATTTGAGACATATTTAATTATATTTTCAAAACTATGTCGTAGTAGGACGAGTTTAAAGAGAACATCTGACAGTAACTTTATATCTTCTACTTCAGATTTTGCTACTTAGTCAGCTTTGGAAGTTGTTTCTCTTGATACTATTTTAACTAATTAAACTCAGCCCACTTGTGGAATTATGGCCTTTTATTTTATTTCAAATGATTTAACTCGAAAGAGTATAGACAATTAAAAAAATAATAAATTTTATTAAAGCATATCTGAAAAATTAATAATCTACTTTCTGAATCTGAAAAATTAATAATAAATTTCTATTTATAATAAAACAGTGCAATATGAACTGATTCTGTACAAAACACCCATAAAATAAAAATTGGACAGTCTCATAGCTCTAAACAAAAAAATCCGTGGTTAAAGAAATGACGATTAAATTCAATTAATCAGTCGCATTTTGGACTGAGGAAATGAAGTGAAAGAGGAAAACTGCTAAGGCAACTGAACGGACAAAAAAAAAAAAAAAAAAAAAAAAAAAAAAAAAAGTTAAACCGTTAGCAACCGTAAAAGAGTTAAACCGTTAGCAAAATACAAAAATATTCTTTAGGTAACTTATTAACATATTTCTAAGTATGCATTGAGATTAAGATTATTCATGGTTGTTTGTTCACTGATTCAGAACTATCCACTCATTCTGGGGACCATATGCTGAAGTAAGCTGATGCTTGTAAAACTGAATTTAACTAATTTTAGAATTTAATGTTTTAGATACTGACTTTAAAATGTCTTATTGACACTGTGGCTAGCATCCTTTAATGACTTTAGCCCAGGAGGTTTTCACAATCGCTCACGATACATAAAATATTATCTGAATTATCTCTATTTCTACATTATTTCGCAACAATATATCACTATTAAAATTCTCTGACAAATGGTTCCTATTTTAACACAGAATATTGCTAAAGAGAGTTCTTAAATTATTTGGTATCTAATGACTCCGAGAAAAATGTTTGCCTTTTATAATAAGAATTAATTTGTATTCCATTTCAGTTGTTAGAAACAATCTGATTCAAACAGACTACATAAAATGGCATCATATCATTTTCAACTTTACTTTATTATTTCGGAATAATTTAATTATACAGGGTGTTTAATTTAAAAATATGCAAAAACTTGATAATCTAGTTTGATTGGAGGGATATGAATTCTTCGGAAGTACAATGAAGTATGATGTGTTTTTGTGAGAAACATATATTAAATATTGTCATGCTTTGTCTTCTCTGACTACTGGTTTGCATGACGTCATTCGTGGAGATATTTCTATTTTATATTAGTTATTTTTCCAGATGAGGTGTGTTTTATTGAAGTGGGTATATCTGTAGCAAAAATTGCAAATATGGAGCTCTAAAAATCTATATATCCTTCTGCTCTACATCTTACAAAACTATTATTTGATATATCCTTCTAGGCGACGAACTATTACGACTTTGTTCTTTCAAACAGCCACTGACTTCGAGACTCATCAAGGTACTGTTTAGTAGCTGATTGCCTTCTTGCAGAAGAATGAAAATGAGTCCTGAATGCAGTAAGATAGGGCGAAATATTGTACAGCAGATTTCCCCATAAAGATGCTGGAGAAAGTTTCTAGAGACAAAATCGTATCTAAAGATTATGGCCACTGAGAATTCCAGGTCTTGCCAGTCTAGGTTACTTGTTTGTGGGAAATCATAAAACATAACATACGTATATCATAAACAAATCATAAACAAACGTGTAAATAATCATAAACAAACGTGTTCATAAGCTATACATTCACCTTGGAAGAATTTAAAATAAATATCAGTACTGCTCTTCAGGATATGGATAAGAAAATCTTCATAATATTGTTAGGAACATAGCGAAACGTGTAGACTAATGCAATGAACTAGAAAGACATCGTTTCTTGCATATGCTGTTAGCAATATAACTCGTAAGCATGCATTTTATCTCCTCTATGAAGGTCCATTTGTAACTTAAACACGCTATAAGCACGGATAAAGACAGATTTACGTCTACAGGTAAAATAATATGTATTATTTTTAGGTCTGGATCCCGCTGGACCATACTTTTATGAAGCCCACCCCAAAGCAAGACTTGATGCTACGGATGCGGAATTTGTTGATGTAATACACACCAATGGAGGAAATAATCTATTAGAAGGTAAGCAAGAACCACTTGCTAATTTTGTTTAATTTTTTCTATAAAATATTACTCACTATAGCTTTATTACTATTTACGAAGATCACGCGAGGAATATATATCGAAAATATTAGGAACAATCGTTTTCCTGTTGCAACATTGTAAAAATTAATGGAAAGAATAAGGCACATTAAGAAAAGTTGTAAAAAGTTGTATAAATACATAAATGGAACCCCATTCTTTCAAAACGATGTACATTTTATCATTAAATGGAATTTCGAGCATTTTTATCTACGTAAATGCATAGATATCTGAAAAGATCCAGGGATGAAACTTTTTAACTGAAATATTGCACATGACCTCCAGAAATCATTTTCTACTTTTTCTTGGACGGCGAGTACCTTATTGGAAGAAACTGATCATTAAGAGATTACAATTACGAGACACTCACAGTTTAATCTGCAGGGCCTGTCAGTGTTGAGTGGCCCACCAGCGGCCGAGCGGTAAGTTACTGAATACTAGTAGTTCAGATCTGGGTTCGACTGCAAGCGAGCGGACTAGCTGTATGAACGTTTTCGTGGTTTTCCCCTTGTGTAACGTGTATACGAACCGGTTTCCGTTAGAAAGCCCTATACGAAGGCATCTCTCCTCTTAGGCAGATAACCCTCGCGTGCTTTACTATAGTAAAGCGCGCGTATAAACTAAACCAAACCAATGTTGAGTGCTAAGACTGCTAAACGCAGGTGATTTGATCTGGATTTGAATCCAAGCGAAAGCTGTGTAGTGGTTTATGTATGTATATTACGTATTACCATTTTTTATACAATACTGATGCAAAATAATAAATTATTTTTTATTTACTTACTTATTTTGCTAACATCATGTTGTAAGGATCTTAAGTTTTACTAACGTTTATTTTATTTTAAATCTTTACTATCACTTCTTATTTTCTACTTCCGGCCAGAATTAAAAGCGTTAACTTATTTATGCAAAATTTGTCTGGCGAACGCCAAGTACTTAAGTTGTGGCTTTTTGCCAAACGAGAGAGAGGAAGGAGTTAGTCGAAGCAGGCCACTTGCCTTAGAAGTTTTACTCGATTGCTGGTTGCCTTCCAGGCCAGAGGTTTAATCCTCGTGATAATTTTAAACGTATTGTTACGAATTTGGTATTTAAAAAGCTAATGTTAGTTCAATTACAAATTAAATGATTTTATTTCTCGCGCAGTGCAGCGCGTGACGAATATTAAAAGAAAGCTAAGCCGTAAAATTGAAATTACAAGAGCGCGTGCATTAAATAAATAAATATCTCTTTTTGATTTCGAGAAAGTACTGGAAAATTCTAGCGCGTGATTTTAAAATCTTATAAAAGGAGGAAAACATCTCAGTTTGTAGTAGTTGCTTAGTTTGTTGTTGTTTAGAAAACTGCTCTTGTTGATTGTAGCGAATTCGCGGATTAGCGTTCTTTAGCTGTTTTTTTATTACGTTCTATTGGACATTTGAGTAATTAAAAGATAACTACTGTGAGATATTGTAATACTGCATGATAATTTGAGAAAATTTAAGCATTTTTGTTGTGATAATAATAAATTTTTTTTGTTCATTTTTCATCGGACTTGTGCATTCATTTCATAACGAACCCGTACGCACGCAACAATTTTTGGTGTCAGAAGTGGGGTTTGAATGCCAATAACAAGAGCGATGGAAGAGCAATTAAGGCAGTTAATATCAGCCTTTGCCTCATTTAAAGAAGAAATTAAAGAGGAAATGAATTGGGCCAGGAATCCGTTAAGGAAGAAATGAAATTGGCCAGGAATCTGTTAAGGAAGAAATGAAATTGGGCCAGGAATCCGTTAAGGACGAAATGAAAGCCGTTCAAGCTGGTCAAGAAGAAATGAAAAGAGAAATTACTTGCATAATAGAAAATAAATTCGAAGCTATGGAAGGCAGAATTGACGCAGTTGAAAATAAAGTTGGACATATTGAAGAAAAAGTTTCTTCCGTAAAAGATCATATTGAAGAAAGAGTTTCTTCGGTGAAAGAAGAAATAGAAGAAAGAGTTTCTTCTGTAAAAGAACATATAGAAGGGAGAGTTTCTGCTGTGGAGGAACGAATTGAAGGAAGAGTTTGTGCCGTCCAACACCAAATCGAACAACAAATTGATGAGAGAGTTTCTGCAGTTGCCAAAGAAATGGATACTTTAAAGAAATTCGTAACGTCGGCAGGGAGCAGGAGTGATGATTTTAAATTCTTACCAATGCCTGCTCGTCCACCTCTGAAGCTATCCACATATGATGGGAAGACCTCCTGGCAGGTATATAAGACACAATTTTCTATCGTGGCGGATGCGAATGGATGGGATTCCCAAGCTAAGGCCTGTCATCTCGCCGCTTCTCTAAGAGCCGACGCAGCGGATATCCTTCAGACTCTTCCCGAAAACAAAAGGTTAGATTTCGAAGCTCTGTCCGGCGCCTTGGAGTTGCGCTTTGGGGAGAAGTGTTTAAAAGACTACAGCAGGCTCCAATTAAAATCTCGTCAAACAGAAGCCTACCGAAACACTTCAGGAGCTCGCCGCGGATGTTGAAAGGCTGTCCCATCTCGCCTTTTCGGAATGCCCGACAGAAACAAGGGAAAATCCTGTCCTTGCAATACTTATATCGACGGCATCCGAGATACTGAAATACAGAAAGCTCTACGAATGGCGGATGTAAAAGATTTAAAAAGTGCTCTAGTGTACGCCATGAAATTTGAGGCAGCCCAGCAAGCCACTCGTCGAGACCGCCACCGCCCCAGTCAGAGCTGCTCAAGTCCAGGAGCCAGGGGATCAAGTCACCGCTCGACTTGACGATTTAACTAGACAACTGAACGCCTTGAGACGGAATATTGGTGAGAAGAAACCGACCGTTAAGTGCTGGAACTGCGGTGCTGAAGGACACATACGACGAAAACTGCAAAACACCCCAGGGTACTGATGTTAAGACCGCTTCTAACAAGCAGCAGGGAAACTAATTAGTGGCCATCTCGCGGGGCGGAGGTTGCCAGATAATGAAAAGCCCCCGTTTAAAGCGCTTCAGATTTCTGCAGTGAGAGGCGGCAGTAATGGACTTTTCATAATAGGACATATTAATGGAGTTCCGTGCAATATGACTATAGATACAGGAGCCAACGTCACCATCATCCGAAAAGATTTGGCTCAACAACTAGGAAACAAACTTATCTGGACGCCGCCCTGCGTTACCCTCCAGACTGTGTCCGGTGAGAAGATCGACATCGACGGAAAAGTAAATGTTAACATCACGTTTGGAAGTGCCGCTTACCATCACACGGCATATGTAGCAGAGATCACTGATTCTTGCATACTCGGATTGGACTTTCTAAGGAAATACAATTTTTACTTGGATTTTAAAAATAACGAATTGCACTCTACATCTGAGGCCATAGCGTTATTTCTCGTTAATGATGAAGAAGTTAAATCTGTCCATAAAATCATAGCACAAGACTATATCACAATACCGGCAAGAACAGAAATTTTACTTCCTGGATCCATAGCCGAAAATAGAATTTCCGCTACGGCATCATAGAATATCCCAATAACTGTAATATCCCAAAAAAAGGAGTACTAGTAGCCTCAACACTCGTCGACCTATCCAGAACGGTTATCCCGGTGAGAGTCGCCAATGTAACTGAAAAGTCGAGAGTTATTAAGAAAGGTGAAGTGGTTGCAACATGTACTCCAGTAACCAGCGTTGAAAGAAAGAGTAACATCCCAGAATCCGTGTCCTCAGAGAGCATTACATCGGAGTTATTGCAGAATGCACAATTAAACGATAAAGAGAAAAATGCTGCCGATCGCGTCATTAAAGATCTTCAAGTTGTTTTCTCCCGCTCGTCTTCTGACGTGGGTCGAACTAGTTTGACACAACATAGAATAGATACTGGCGATCATCCCCCAATCAAGCAACATCCAAGACGTCTACCGTTTGCTAAACAGGAAGAGGTGCGAACACTGTTAAAAGATATGGAAGAAGGCGATGTCATCGAGCCTTCAGCGAGTCCATGGGCATCTCCCATCGTTCTCGTCAGAAAGAAAGACGGCTCAACAAGATTTTGCGTTGACTATCGCCGGTTGAATGAGGTTACGAAGAAAGACAGTTACCCTCTTCCTAGAATTGATGACATTCTAGAACACTCTTTCTGGAAGCAAGTGGTTCTCAACACTTGATTTAAAGAGTGGGTATTGGCAGGTAGAAATCCATCCTGAAGACCGAGAAAAAGACGGCATTTACTACGGGACAAGGACTTTGGCAGTTCAAAGTGATGCCGTTTGGACTGTGTAATGCGCCGGCAACATTCGAACGTCTTATGGAGACTGTTTTGAAAGGCCTTTTCCTACGAAGCCTGTCTGATATACCTGGACGATATCATCATCGTCGGAAAGAGTTTTGAAGAGCATCTAGAAAATCTTAGAAAGGTGCTTCAGAAACTGAAAGAGGCCAATCTGAAGCTGACTCCCGCTAAATGCAAATTGTTTCCGAAAGGAAGTGACTTACCTGGGACATGTCATCTCTGCAGAAGGTGTGCGCACGGATCCTGAAAAGGTATCAGCGGTTAAATCCTGGACGCGTCCCGAAAATGTCCATCAGCTGAGAAGCTTCCTAGGGCTTTGCACCTACTATAGGAGATTCGTGAAGAACTTTTCTTCCATCGCAAGACCACTTCACAAGCTGACAGAGAGCAAGCAAAGATTCTTGTGGACAAAGGAATGCGAGCATGCATTTAACAACTTAAAGGAAGCTTTAACATCTGCTCCAATCCTGACGTATCCTCAACTCGACAGACCATTTATTCTCGACACCCGACGCGAGCAATGAAAAGGTCGGTGTTGTTTTTTTCCCAAGAAATAGACGGCCAAGAACGTGTAGTAGCTTACTGGAGCAAGTGCCTGTCTAAACCGGAGAGGAATTACTGTGTCACAAGGAAAGAGTTGCTCGCCATAGTCAAAGCTGTAGAACATTTCCATCATTA